CCAAAATCCAGAGCCCGTGACTCCCATGGAATTGAAATCTGGCAAATTTTATAAAATATTTTTTGACATGAAAATTGCCATAAAACATTTTATGACATGATACAAAATGTCATAAAAATATTTTCTATAGTTAACTCTTGATGTTTGACTGCACTATGCACCATTCACTATGGACTATTCTCAAGACAGGTAGATCTCTGAAAATCTCCCTTAATTTTTAAGAACTTTTCCAGTACATTAGAAAATGTGCCAAGTTGAAAATGTTGAGGAATCTGTTAAGGAAATATCTCTGAAACAATGATGGTGGGGGGGGGGTCATTGATTTTTCTAGTCATTTTATAAAAATTATCTTTAAGGTTATATAACACAATGTAAACTTCAATCCTCTGAGCTACATATTTTCCCATTGTTCCATCTGTATATTATAAACCATTTTTTTGTCCTTTTTATCATAGTCTTTCACTCCTTCTTCTGTTTCATAATTCATAAAAAATTTATACATTTTAGTCACTACATGTTGATCATTTGTACAAAATTCTATTTAAAACTCAGTCTTATGATGATCAAAACCATAAATGATTTTACCAACTTTAAATCTTTCTAACAATTTTAAACAAGAGAAATATTGACATTTATGTCCTTCTGATACCAGTTCTTTTCGTGGTTTTATTTTAAATTCCCCTTGAGAAAATCCTAACATCTCATAATAAGTTAGCCATTTGTGTTTGTTTATTATTTCCTGTCAGCAATATGCTTTTTGTGCTGACAGCCACAGAGGTGCTTTCAGGCTCAATCAGGATTTGTATCTATTTTATATTTTCAATATGGTGCATCTAACATAATGGTTTTTAAAATCCATATTGACTTATCACCACAAATATCCATGCCACCAAATCTCAGGTTGTGTCCTTCTAATTCTATTTCACGGTCATACTGAAACCAAACAGCAAGCTGCAAAATAAAAATTCAAATCAGGTAGACCCAATACTCCTCGTTCCTAGCATCTTATAACATCTTATATTTCATTGTGATTTTTCTCCTGCCACACAAATTTAGATGCATCATTCTGCTACTGTTTAAATGGTGCATCAGTTGTCAAAACAAGTATTCTCTGAAACACAAACTTCATTCTAGGTAAGGCATTCATTTTTATCACAAAATTCTCCCCAGCAATGACAATTGTAATTTCCCCTCTCATGACATATATTTTTAACTCCACCTCACATCTTAACACAATTATTTTTAAATAGTGTATAATTCATAGTTGTCATAATGATACCCAAATGTTTTACCTTCTTCTCAAATTTAAAAGCTTTGACTCATCAGCTGGTTGATCTTCTATTTTCATATTTTTATTAACTTCTTCATCTTCTGTTTATTAATCTTAAAAGCTACTAAAGCACCAAATTCTTTAAATTTGTCCATTAATATCACAATTCCCTTTAAAGAGAACCAACACCAAGTCATCTGCAAGAGCACATAACTTATACATTTATTATACATTTATTTTTTAATCATTAGCCCCACAATCCTCTCATATCTCTCTATTCAATATTTCCAGAAGTAAAATAAACAAGAGAAGGGACAGCGGGAATCCTGTTTTGTTTTATGCAGTGTTTCTCAATTTCAACAACTTTAAATTGGATTTCAATTCCCAAAATTTCCCATCCAGATTTCAGCTCCCAGAGTTCTTCATACAGGCTAGAGAATCATGGAACTTGTTCTATGCATCCTAAAGTTGATGAGGCTGAGAATCACTGTTCAATAGGATGAGACTGGAGCTATGAGCCCATAACTTGCTAATTAAGACTTGAAAAGTTAGAAAATAACATAGAGAAGTAGGCATTTTGAAAGGATCTCATTATGGTGGTATCAGATGGCCTATATATCTAATAAGCTCTATTGCTTTCTAAGGGTTGAGATTCTTCAAAAACCAGACCAAGCCAGGTCCCACTTGTTCTTGAAATCGTAACATGTTTCAAAGCCAATATGGTTCAAAATAAAACTGCATATTAGATTTTAAACCACTTTCAGAAGAGCCTCATGAACGAAAATCCCAGGACATAAATATAAAATGCTCTTTATTTTTATTCTCAGGGAAGTTATAAATGTAATATATAAGCTATGTCACAATACCTATTGTGATTTAATACCTGACTTAACCATAGGGAAGTACTTGAAAATTGAAATATCTTCCTCAAACACTTACATAGAAGTGGTAACTGAGACAAAATATCAAGTTTTGCTCTGTAGCACAGGGAAACAACTATTGTGTTCTAAATATATCCATGGCTAATCCACTTTAATGGGCAAATATTTTTGAAAATAAACAAATCCAGACCTGGGGTTGCAGGATCTTAATGCATTTATAAATTAATAAATAATGTGTCTTTCATAACATGAAAATCTTAGTAGATTCAGATTTTTTTTTCTAGAACACCATGATGAGGAAAATATGTGACATACTATTTCTTATTGTCCCATTCTTGTGTCTCTTAAAATATTTGAATGGGCCAACAGGGAAATTACATTTTCCTAGTCCTTGAATGGCAATGATGTAATTTTCCACTGCATCAGTCCATTCTGTGAAGTTATATATGCCTAAATGAATATAGTGTAGAATTAATTAATAAATAAATTTAGTTATGCAACAATTACTGTTTCCCACAGTATAATCTTGCTGTGGCTTTTTAACTCTCTGTATTTACCTTGGTGATGAAGAGCCACAAAGTGAAATAATGATGTTCAGCAGACAGGGTAGGGTGGAACCTTGGAAATTTTTTTCCTGAATTAAGCTCCATTTTATATTAGAAGGATTGCTAACATCTATATTAGTCAGTCTTTCTTTTCTGCCAATTTTCTTTCTTAAATAACTTCTGAAACTTCAGTTTCAGGATATGTTATATTATGTTGTGTTGTGTTGTGTTGTGTTTTGTTTGTTGTGTTATATTAATATCTTGGGTTATACTATTTATTGTTATTAGATTATACTGTATATTCAGGGATATTTCAGGGAATTAAACCGAGTCAAAACTAGTTGCAAATCATATAGTCGTCATGAAAATTCAGTTGTGACCCAAGTCTTCTCGAAACCAGCTCTGTTCCCAGTGCCTTGGGATGACAAGTCCTAAAATTTCCTGATCCATCTGGAGAGCATCAAGTGGAAGAAAGCCTTTCCTTTCTTCTGACATGAAACATAGGAAATTCATACAGACATGTAAAAATACAACCCATACTTTTTCTGTTTTTGCAGAGACCCATTCAGAAGGGCAGAGAATTCTAGATGGACATCACTCAGGTATTTCTGCTTCAATTTCTATAAGGCCAGTATTTCAAAAATTAGATAGATGCATAAAATTTTATTTTTTTATTTTATTTTATTTTTGCTAAAATCCAGCCTTTGTTTTATAGTCAGGGCACTGAAAGTCTAGTAGCAGTTAAAATAGGATTTGCCCAGCTTGCTTACCCAGTTTATTGGTCCAAGAGCTGGGAATTGAAAAAGAAAAACTCAACTGTTTAACAAGTCGGCATTCTAGCCACCGCTGCTGCTAATTCTGCTATCAGTTTTTCTTGAACTTCCATGAAGTCCCATAATATACATCTGATTTCTCTATTGCTGCAAGTAATATACATCTCTCCTTAGTGTACATAAAATTATTTAAACATTCATTGCTTTTGAGTAAGAGTTAAGATCAAATACAGCATATATAGTCTCCCCCATTCCAAGAAGCAATTATTTATTTTTCATTATTTAGGGATTGGGTTTTGTTTTGTTTTTTGCATTTTGTTAAAATAGAATAGAATAACGGAGTTGGAAGGGACCTTAGAGGTCTTCTAGTCCAACCTCCTGCTTAGGCAGGAAACCCTACACCACTTCAGACAAATGGTTATCCAACATCTTCTTAAAAACTTCCAGTGTTGAAGCACCCACAACTTCTGGAGGCAAGTTGTTCCACTGATTAATTGTTCTGTCAGGAAATTTCTCCTTAGTTCTAAGTTGCTTCTCTCCTTGATGAGTTTCCATCCATTGCTTCTTGTTCTACTCTCAGGTGCTTTGGAGAATAGTTTGACTCCCTCTTCTTTGTGGCAGCCCAAGATTTTGGAACATATTGCTATCATGTCTCCCCTAGTCCTTCTTTTTATTAAACTAGACATACCCAGTTCCTGCAACCATTCTTCACATGTTTAGCCTCCAGTCCCCAAAATTAATTTTGATTGTAAAAAAAAAAAAAAAGACTGCTGTTTTGTTCTTTGACCATTCCTTTTACGCACTTACTCCTGTAGTAATCAACTACACTTTCCTCTGTTCCTACAATGTTGTCATCTCCCTTCCTTTATGGAAGGGAGGGGGGGGCTTTTTGGCTTTTTGCCATCTATTGGGGGGGGGAATATATATATATATATATATATATAGGATTGATTTTTTGTTTAAGTGTATGCTGACTATATAAAATAGATGGCTTTTTTCCTGTCCCTTTAAAGCTCAGCCTTCCTGGGCCTTTCTGTTCTTGTTTTCCCTTACTATCATCCTTATCTATAATAATCAAGCTTAACTTGCTTGTTTCTACAAATGCCAAGGTATTCAGCCCTCCAAATTTTTGGATGATTTCCATCCTTGAAAGGATTATTCTAAAAATATTGCATGTGGTGAATCATGGCCTTGAATCTGAGATGAGAAACAAACAAAAGAAACTTAAGACAGCTGTAAATGAGAGTGAAGAGAAAACAGTATCTAAATCACTACTGTGTTTCTCCGAAAATAAGACCCTGTCTTATTTTTGGGGGGGAACCCTGAAATAAGTGCTTGGCCTTATTGCCATGCACTCAAAAGCCCAATTGGGCTTATTATCAGGGGATGTCTTATTTTGAGGGAAACAGGGTAGTTGGATTTCTAAAGACCCATAGAATCTCATTACATTACTATTTTCTTTCTTTAAGCTCTGGACAAAGGTTCTTGTTCTACCTGGAGCACTGGCCACTTCTCAACCTTTGACAATTACCTGTATGATTTCTCGGGGACTTGTAATTATGTCTTTGCTACTGTCTGTGATGAGACCTCTCCAGACTTCAACATACAGTTCCGCCGTGGTCTGAACAAAACAATTGAAAGAATTATCATTCAAGCGGGCCCAAATACTATTATTGTTGACAAAAGTGGCATATCAGTCAAGGATTATGGGTAAGTAAGCATCCATTAGAAAAATGGTTTTGTTCTGCTGCAAGCTAAAGCTTCTTCTATAAAGTTGAAGGAGTCTGGCAACCATCTTATATGAAATTCTGCCCTTGGGCTTCAGCTCTAAAATAATGTGCTTGTCATGAATCATCATTAAAGTGCTGGGAAGCTGCAACTGATGCTGAGAAGCGCATCCACACTGTGTACACTTTTAGTGGAAGGTGCATCCCATTTCTCATGATGTATCAGTTTTGGCTAACTACCTATGAGTAAGAAGAATGTTTTTGTACGTTTTGCCAATAGGTAATAAAATTGCCAACACAGCACCATAAAATCTATATTTATATAGCTTCTATAATGTAATCCAAATAGATCTTGTCTTCTCTAAAGAATTGATTTTCTGAATCTTTTTGTAAAAGGTGTGTGTGTGTGTGTGTGTGTGTGTGTGTGTGTGTGATCATTAATCATCATTGTAGCCATTGTCAATCCACTGAAGGATCATAGAATGGATCCCACTTGATAAAAAGATCCAGCAGAGAGAGAGAGAGAGAGAGAGAGAGAGAGAGAGAGAGAGAGAGAGAGAGAGAGAGAGAGATAGAGATACAGACACAGACACAGGCACAGGCACAGGCACAGACAGTACTGATACGTTTGACACCCAAGGAGACACCATTGCATCATAGCTAAACAACCTTTTATAGCATCACCATTTTGTGGGGGGGGGCTCCCAAGGACCACAAGGGCAGGAAATAATATTAGTTTTTCTTTATACACATCATACTGTGCCATTCTGAGGCCTCTAGGTGGTTGCGAGCTGCAAGTGGCCTGAAAACCATAACTTTATCATTGTCCAATGGGATATCCCACTCATAATAATAGAGGTAGTCCTCACTTAAACCAACGACAATCAGGACCAGCAATTTCATTATTAAGTGACACAGTTGTAAAATGAAAAAACTCATGTGACTGTACCCAATTTATGACAGCAGTTTGTCAGTTCCAGCTGCAGTCATTAAGCGCAATGTCAAGACTCAACAACTTGCAATTTCCTGCCAGATTCCGTATTTCTACTTTAGGACCTGTGAATGTTTCAGATGTTTCAGAATTACAGCTTTCAGCATTCCTCACCCAGACTCTGTTGGCTAGGGCTGCCAGGATTTTAGGTTCAGGCATATTGGGAAGTCCACTGTTCATTTTATCTCATTAGAGATATGAAAATGTAGTGACATTTGAATATGAATGCCAATAAAGTTCATATCATTTGATTCTGAAGATGAACCTTTACAATTCTGCAAAGTGTCTAAATGTATATGTTTGTTCCTAGTAAAATCCAATTGCCATATACTAGAAATGGAATTCAGATTGCACCATTTGGCCACAATATCCGTTTAATATCCAAGCGGAAGGAAATGGAACTTGCTGTTTTCTGGAACAATGATGACTATCTCATGGTGAGTAAAGTTTTTATTTTTCATAGTGATTATGATTTTGGAAGTCTAAAATTCCAGGCACACGTTAAATAAATTATTCTGCATATATTCTTTGGCTTTGCTTGAAATACTGAAGATGGAACACAGTTAAAGCCAAAGGGTAATGATTTTAACAACCATTATTTTAATTAGATGATTTAATGCACTTTACATTTGTAGTTTAGGCAGTGCAAGGCTGCCACTTTTAACATGGCAGAGGAAGGGGAAAATTTCTATTCGAAGTTCCAAAAAATAGCCTGCAAAATGGTAAGGAAGCAAGATATTCCAAGAAAAATTGCTCACATGTGTATTTAGTTTGTTTGCCTTGCAAAAAAAATTGCCTTGCAAATTTCAGTGTAAGCTTCCTGATAATTTCTGTAGCTATATTATTCATTCATTTATTTAAATTTATATTTTTAAGGCTACCCAACCCAAGATATTTTTTTAAAAAAAGAAAAGTGCATTGCCTGCAACCAAGCAAAAGAGAATAAACATATCTTGGAAAATAAACTTATACTGTAACTAAAATAAACCATATATACCAGCTAGATACATTGTTATTGATCCCAAAACACCGCAATGTTGGGGTACTTTGTAATCCCCCAATATGGCATTTAGTACCACCATCCAGAGAGCAGGATATTGAGGATTCAAAGACTTGGCATCATGGTTGAATTTTGAGTGCCAGGCAGCAGAATTGATTTCAAATATTAATTCTGCCTTTTCCATGTATAATCCAGCCCAATTTCCTGCCAAATCTCCCTCTGCCCATCATCACTCAGATGTTACTACCTGCCTTATTTTCTACATCAATTCTCTTGTCCTCCCACAACTCTCCCACTATCTCTCTCCCAAGTCTTGAGGACTATCTAACATATTCATCTCCACAGCAACCAGTCAGCCAATCAATTTCAGCTGATCACCTGTCCACAGAGTCTCCAAAAACAGCTTTTGTCATAGTGCCCTCACGTGTTGCAAGCATGTCACACTATGTCACACTCAATTGCAGAAAATATGACTTCAGTAACAGAGTGGTCAATGCCTGAAATGCACTACCTGACTCTGTAGTTTCTTCCCCAAACCCCCAAAACTTTATTTATTTATTTAACTTTATTTATTTAATCATTTATTATGATTATGATTATGTCAAAGGATTGGCATTAAAAGCGGGTTGAACATGGAATTAGCCTACAGGTCTCTATTTATAGTCTGCTTTGTATACTTCATCTATATGTGGCACCGGTTGGACAAAATGATATACAAAACATCCTCATTCAAAAGATTTGTACAGATAAAGTAAAATAATTAAACAAGCACAATAACTCCACTAACTCACCCACCATATCTGTCACCCATAACAACTCATTTAAATCTTTCTATTCCCTCTTTTCCCATCTCTCTCATTTATTTAGCTTTCTTCTCTATTTTTTCTCTTCTCTACCTTGCCATTTGAGAGAAAAGCAGCTTGGGCAGGAGATGGTTTCCAATGGAAAAGCAGAAGGGAAGAGATTGGTAACATTCCTCTGCCTTTCACTCCTTTCTCAACAACCTTCCAATTAATGTGTGTGTGTGAGGACAAGAGCAGGGAAAGGGCCAGAGGCCAGGATGGTCCATTACCAGGGGTGGGCTGCTGGGGGTTCGCAAGGATTCGGGAGAACTCTTGCTAAGATTCTGTGCAGTTCAGAGAACCCCCAAATCCCACCCCTGGCTGGGCCCTCCCACCCCACCCCTCCCAGGAGTCCTCACACAGCCCGTTTGGATTCAGGTAAGTGCAGAGCACGTGTGGAGGCTCGGAGAGGGCAAAAAAGAGGTCTACGGGAAGTTCAGGAATGGGCCCATTTCCGGCTTCCAGAGAGGCTCTGGAATCTGGGGAGGCTGTTTTTGCCCTCCCGGAGGCTCAAAGAAAGTCTCCGGAGTTCGGGAAGGGCAAAAATGCCCCCCCTCCTGCTTTGGTGCAGGAGGCTGACTAGGCCACACCCACCATGGCCACGCCCACCCAGCAACCGAACAGAGAACCCCTTGCTAAAATTTTTGAAGCCCACCCCTGTCCATTACAATAACTACAAGCAAGTATGAACTACTTCTCACAGAACGAAATGGATGGCTCTTCATCCCTTACAATGTCAAGACAAGATGTAGGATTTGAGCCTTGGGACTGTGCAACAGAGAGGGCTTAAAGCATAGATTTTGCATTAGCTACTGTTCTATCATTATTAAAGACTTTCCTAATACTTACAATAAATACATTTCATTAGAGCAGTGTCCTTGGAATTTCTGGCTGTGAACCTTCCAGTCTGAATATCTGTCTGAATGAAGCTGGCCAGAAGTATTGCAAGTGAAAAATAGCAGAAAGAGGGGGACTAAAACATATTTTTATTTCTGTACACACCTCTGTACAAACACAACACTCCTACAAAGTCTTCTATTCCAAATAGCCCATTCTTTAAAGCAACAATTACTGGACCGCTGCTGTCAATATTTATATAAAGTACCAAATTTCACTCATTGTTTTAAAGGTATCATTTAAAAATCTTTGGGTACATCCAATAATAGTTGACAGTCATAACTAAAGAAAAATCCTGCATTCAACAGAAGCAGGAACATGTTGAGACTTGCAGTCTGAGAGGTACCATATAATGCAGGGATCACCAACCTTTCATACCTCAGGGACCACTTAATTCATATCTTTCAATCCCGTGGACCACTAATAGGAATTAGTGACAGGACGGGGTCCTTCAGGCACTTAGCATGGCCACCTGTTAGCAAAGAGAAGCACCCGGGGTCAACCCTAGCATTGTTGTCCATTGCAGCTAGGAATCTCAAATACGACCAAGAATGAACGTTTGTTTTGTAGCCAGCCCGGGCGCTAGATCACCCCACACACACAAACTCTGTCTCTCGAGGAGCCGGCTGAAGTTTCGTGCACCGCTGACTGAAGCACCTGGACTCCCAAGGAGGGAGGGAGAAGCTGGAACTACTAAACAGGCAGCCAAGCTAAATGCCTAAAGGATCCCATTCCATCAGTGAGTGGGTTTAATTGCGTTGGCAGGCCGTATCCGGCCCAGGGGCCATAGTTTGAGAATCCCTGACTTAGTGCAATATAAAAAATGCAAAGATTTTTCTGCGGACCACCAAAATTTTCTCACGGACCACCAGTGGTCCATGGACCACCAGTTGGTGACCGCTGATATAATGGATCTCATGGGCTGCTCTAAACCTTCTTCAGGAATAGTAAAATAGACCTTCTGAAAATACATTATCGGAAGTAAAATTGATAACTATTATACAAAACATTGCTCTTTATTGTAAGCTAGTAATGAAAAAACATTAGGAGATGGAGAAGATTAGTTACTATTTAAAATGTCCTGTCTAATTGTCCACTATGGACCATGTCTTGGATGACAACATCTAATTTGAATAGTGTTGCCAGATGGAATATGTTCAAGCAATAATGCAAGGCAATAATGACAAGGTAAGTGACCATCTGTTTCCTCTTGAAAAAGAAAACCAGTGGTTGGGAAAGAACACTTGATGACAAATTCCAGAGGAGGAGCTGTACTAGGTTGTCAACGCAAGAACAAACAGAAGTCATATGTGATGCCTTGTAGATCAGCAGGTTTGCTGTGGCATAAATCTGTTAATCATTTAGGGTGTCACAGCAGGATGGCTTCTTAGATTTTTTCCTGCTAATTGTGGAGTGTCTCACTATTAATATTGCAGCATAGGTCAGGCTGACCTGGACTGCAGCCCATTATTTGGTTAACAAATATTGTAATAGGCGTATTGCTGTTTGGATTGGCTCAGAGGTGCATTCCACTGATCAAAATGGCATTACTCTATAAATTTTATAATTTATAGCTGGGAGGAGAACATACAACATGGGTATATTACCAACAGGTCATGCATGGTTGTTTTCTAATTGATTTTCTTTCCCCTCCTTTTTAAAGGTTTTAATTGAACAGAAATATATGGCAAAGACATGTGGATTGTGTGGAAATTTTGATGGGCAAGAGTTGAATGAGTTTCTGAGTGAAGGTATGATTATTATTATTTATTAAATATAAATGTCACCTGACTTCTAGTGACTCTATAAATTAAAACACGAAGAACATGGCCAAAAAAAAAAAATTAACAAGAAGATAGCAAAGGCAAGATAACAAAACAGGTGGAAATAAAAGAAAACAATCTAAATTGAAAGGAGGCTCCAGACTTTCCCACCAAAGGCCCGGGTGAAGAGTCAGATCTTCAGGCCTTCAAAACACCAGCAGAATGGGACTATTTGGATCTTGGGGTGGACCTCATTCCAGAAGGCAGAAGGACTTCATTCCAGAAGAATACTTCTGGGGTCCCCATTGATGGTATTGCTTAGTTGAAGGAACCTGGAGCATTCCAATCCTGCCAGATCAAATCGGCCATTCAGATGCTATGGGACGTCCCCCAGGTAATCAGGCCCTAAACCATATTGGGTTTTCTAGGTGACAACTAGCACCTTCAATCACACCTGGAAGCAAACTGGAAACCAGTGCAACTCACAAAGGTGAAGTGTAACATTCTGTCTATACAAGACTATACAAGAGAAGAAATTACTGAGCTTCTTACTCAGAGAAAACTATTTAATAAGATAATAATACTAAAGATCATGACATGATTTCCAGACTTTTTTTTTATTTATAGGTCCTGCTCAGGAAGGAGGGTGATGGAAGGGGTTCCATCTTAAGTACAGGTAGTCCTTGACTTACAATCACTATTGAGCCCAAAATTGCTGTTGCTTAGCAAAGACATTTTTTAAGTGAGGTTTGCCCCATTTCATGACATTCTTTGCCACATTTGTTAAGTGAATCTCTGCGGTTGTAACATAGTTGTTAAGTGAATCTGGCTTTCCCATTGACTTCGCTTGTCAGAAAGTGGCAAAAGATGATCACATTGACTTTGGGATGATGCATTGACCTTGGGACAATGCAACCATCATAAATATCTGCCAGTTGCCAATCATCCAACTTTTGAACACATGACCATGAGGATGTTGCAACACTTGTGTGAAAAACAATCACAAGTCACCTTTTTCAGTGCCATAGTAAATTGTCACTAAACAAATGGTTGTAAGGAGAGGGCTACCTGTATGATTCAGGATTTGAAATGCTGGATTGATCGTGTTCACCTTGGACTGTAAAACTAATGAGTAGTAACTGATTTGGATTTTACAGGTATTGGATTTATGGGGGGGAAATTACAGAATGCATACAGAAGTGGGATGGAAAAGACTGAAATGACCATTCTTTGCCCAAACCCCACAATATTTCAGAAGGTCAATTTTCCTCTAGAGCAGTATTTTTCAACCTTTTCAACTTGAAGAGGAATGAACTTCAGCTCCCAGAATTCTCCAGCCAGCCATGCTGACTGAAGAATTCTTTAAGACTCATTTCGATCAAGTTCAGTAACATGTATATCTCAATTAACAGGTATTCTTCTGGACCCATATAAATATGCAAGTTTACATAAAATTGATGATCCTGCAGAGATCTGTCCTTTTGAAGGGATGATGACTCCTACCATTCCTCAAAAGAAAGACGTAAGCACTATGTCATTATTCTGCTATATTTAAATTCCCTTGGGAAAAGAGTGTGATAAAGAAATATTACAGATCTGAAGAAGCAAAAACAGACAGCCCCATCTATCTGAAAGGGATTGAGGGAAAGTATGTCTATTGTAAACTTACCATTTTTCTATTAAAGAATTTTTCAATCATTTTTGCTTTCCATTCATTATGGAATTGCATCTTCTCTCAGTTAGTTCTTGTCCTGCTCTAGTTTAAGCAGGAGGTTTCCTCCCAGCACAGGGAATCAGAAAAAAATATTCTTACCGATAAAAAAGAATTTTTGTAACTCAGGATTGAATAATGGGGTCCTTGGTCCTCTCTGAGTTGATGATTTTCTTGCAGACAACCTAGTTCAGTAATGAAACAACTGCAGAAACACCAAACTCAGAGAGCAACAAGAAACCCACAGATATTTTTGCTTTTATTTATTATTTATTAATTTTATTTCTATACCACCCTTCTCTCGAAGGACTCAGGGCGGTGTACAGCCTGATTAAAAGCACAAAGACAGACAAAATTTAAAAATAATTAAAATTATTAAATAATTGGCTCAATTATAAAACCCCCAAATTTAAAATCCCATATTTAAACCAATTAAAATTAAAATCTTTATATTGATAGCCCGGCCTGGCGGAACAACAAGGTTTTGAGGGCACAGCGAAATACACGGAGATAGGAGATCTTACGCATTTCTGGGGGCAGTTCATTCCAAAGGGCAGGGGCTCCCACAGAGAAGGCCCTCCCCCTGGGTGTCGCCAGCCGACATAATTTGGCCGATGGCACCCTGAGAAGACCCTCTCTGTGGGAGTGGACTGGCCAGTGGGAGGCTACTGGTGGCTTTGAATTTTTGCTGTGATTTTGATGCTGATATGAAAGGGAAAACCTCGTTTCCCATTTTCTGTGTCTAGAAATCACCCTGACAAGACCAGGAACAAGCTGTGACACAAGGGTGACAATTTGTCTAGCTTGAATCATAGAGTCTATACTACTGAATGTTTGTTGCTCGATGGAATATTCTTCAAAACTCATAGTGGTAGTCTTCAAAACTGACAATGTGCATCACTAGATTGAGACTATATGTTTGTTCATTTTCTTCTTAGGCCACACTTTGCTTCCATCTGTTACGCCTCGTGTCACCATCTTGCAATATTTCCAAAAAAGGGTTTGTTATCCGTTGCCAACTGGATATGCAAGTCTGCAGCAATCCTGGACACACCAACTGTACTTGTGCTACTCTTTCAGAATACTCACGGCAGTGTTCCATGTCTCATCAAGAGGTGACCAACTGGAGGACCAAAGATTTCTGTTGTACGTTAAATCATTTACATCTCTAAATATCCATGCTGGGTAATATGTTTTAGCATCAACACTCTGAAAGTGTGCTTTATTTGCAAATAGCACTCTAATGATGATTTGTATTAAGAAAAGAAACATAAATGAAGAGAGGAGTCCCTGTTAACGGTTCTTCTTCTGCTGCTGCTCCTTATAGCTGCATACCCTCTTGGTAGTTATTTTTGGATGTTTTTGCCTTTGATTGTTTCTTACCTTTTGCTGTATTTCTTTTCATCACTGCCATGTTCCATCAGTGTGTCTTGATAGCTGTATCAAACTCAACTAGTGGTTATTGCCTGGATTTACTACCAAAGTATAAATGTAAATCAAGCCAATTTTTATATTCTCTTTAAAATAACCTAGAGTCCAGAAAGATGTAGATACAACTGTATTATAAATCATAATGCATGCAACTCAGTGATAACTGTTCATACACAAAACAGTCTCATCAAGGCATAGTATTATATATTAAGGCTATGCAATCCTTTGAGTTTGATTTAGAAGAGCTGGAATGATCTTGGCTGTTGTGTCATTCTGGAAACTAATATAGCAACTGTATGAGTTGCAGACTGGCATTTTTGTGCATTTCAAAGTACCTTTTCCAAGTTAATTGGTAAATGTATTGCTTTCAAAAAATTAATACATTTCACACATTGATTACTATTATTAGATAACCCTTTTCACATATATACAAACTCACAAGTGTATATGTGGATTCCTCAAACCTAGGATTTTAGGAATTTTTCCCATAAATGTGGCACTCAAGAGAGTAGAGTCTCTTGTTTCGCTATTTGGAAACTTTTCTCCTTATTGGTGAAACTGTAGCCATCTATTATATATAACACATATTTAAATATTAACAAATCCATTATGAGTTACTTAATTAGAATTGTTCTAGTGCTGTATTAAGCCTGTGAGTTGCAGGTTGGCCACTCCTAATATAAGTAAAGAACAGAACAGGCCATCCCCCCCATTCCAATCCAATGGAATGTTGGGGAGAAATTGCATAAGGAGAGTTGGGATTCTGCATGTCCACCAGTAAGATAATTTTCTGGAAAACTGAACAGAATTGAACCAAATTTGATCAGAAGATAGAAGCCATCAAAAGAAAGATCAGAGTAAGAAATGGTGTTGATCCAATTCAGGGTTAAAGAGAAAAAAATAATCCCCTCCCCATCCTCAAACCCATTTCTATGGGACAGGCATTAAGGTAACAGCTCTGAATATAACTTGCCTCTGTCCTCCCTTTGTCACATAACCCAAAACAGACCCCTTCCTAGTATACATATGAATGCAACATTAGAGGACAATAATATTATGCATGGACATCCTTCCATAGAAAAGTTGAATTAGCTTGTAACACAGAAGAAAATCCAGATACTTTCTATGACGGTTTCTGGTAAAGGGTTGGAGAGTATTCCAGCTGACGTGCTCTGTATGCTTTCCTTGCCTTGTTAAAGACAAACAACAAGGCAACTAAGCAGATACAGTTTTGTCTGTATTGACTAGACAAAAGTTCTTTAAAAGCATCAAAGAAAAAAAATACTTTAAAGCAGTTTCCCTAACTCTGAGGATAGAAAAAAATTAATGCTAAAACATTTTTATTGAATCTTAAATAATAGTAAATTCTAAATAAAACACCCAGTATATTTACTTTAATGTCCATACTGGGAAGAAATAATGGGATATGATTCAGGATTATAGGATTTATAATTCAGTGTGTTAGAAGCATCCGCTTGGGGGCAGGCGAATTAAAAAAATTGTTAACTTCATGCCACAGTATCTTCCACTAGAATGCAGAAACTAATACCGTGTTTTCCCGAAAATAAGACCCTGTTTTATATTTTTTTGAACCCTGAAATAAGCACTTGGCCTTATTGCCATGTGCTCAAAAGCCCGATTGGGCTTATTATCAGGGGATGTCTTATTTTGGGGGAAACAGAGTATATTAGGATAATTTCACTGCTGACTTCTTTTTTAATAGAGCCTTCGTGTTTAATATACTTTAGTATCTCATTGCTGTCTAGTATAATTTCAAGTTGGTAGCTATCCACAAATGATGACACATAATTCTATTCATTGACTAGAATAATAGAGGTTCCACCACCAATAGGCAGAAGTTAAAAGGCAGTCATCTCACATCTTAGAAATTACTGATAATGTTGCTTTCTTGAAACAAATAGTTTTGAGAAAATGAAAGAGTAAGAAGGAAACTGTTAAGAAATATCTTTGTGTGGTCCAGGATGCATAAGGTTCCATTGTACTTAAAGAGGCAAATAATTCAGGGGACAGTCCTTCCCTCTATTTGAGAACAGCAGCACCCTGATGAGAATCTGTAAAGCTGCCACGATCTGACAAGAAATATCAGCAGACCTTAGGCAGATAACACATATGCATGAGAGATCACAATGAGGGGTCTTTTCCCTTCTGGCAGGCAATGTCATGGGAAGGTCATAATGGCTTATTTTCCTCTTACCAGCAGCCAGCCTCAACATGACATCACAATAGTGGCCTGTCTTTATAAGCCCAACACTGTCAAACTGTGGCCACAGTGCCCACACTCTCCTCTGGATGCAGATGGCTTCACAGCAACCCTTCTTTTCCTTAAATAGGCTGTATCATATAGTTTCTCTTTCACTAACATGAGCAAATGAAAGAACATACAGTTTCTTCTTTTATAAAGGTGGGTAAAGTCATTGTGATTACCTAAGGTTCTTGCTTTAAAAAAAAAGGCAAGTACAGGTATAGAAACAGCAGAAAAGGAGATATCAATGCCATTCATCCAAAGAGAGTTTTTTTTTTCTTACAGAAGAAATCCATACAATGGCCTAGCATACAGCTAACAAGGCCGAGGATACAGCTAACAAGGCTGAGGAGATATTAAGATTTTCTGCTTCAGTTTTTGACTAATATAAAAGCGCATAGCTAAGATAATGCATGGCTCATTGTCTTCTCTGAAGCCATGCTAATCTCAAGTAATTAGCATAAATTAAATAGATTTTTTTTAAAAAATCCTAAATACATTTGATTTGGATTTTATCTTGAAGGTACATGAATGGCAAAAACATGGGTAGACAGGAAAAAAAAAGTCTCTTCTTTAAGCATCGCCATACAAGATAGGATCCAGGCTACAGAAAATTGAATACATACTCTATGATAGAATCTTATGGGGGCCTTCAAAATAATCATTCTTAATCAAAATACTGTAATACTGTATCTTATATATGAGCCTTGATGGTGCAGTAGTTAGAATGCAGTGCTACTGTAGTTCAAACTACAGTGTTATTGTAATTCATTTCTCACCGGCTCAAGGTTGACTCAACCTTCCATCCTTCTTCTTTTTTTTTTATTAAAAAGTTTTATCAAATATTACAACAATTTTTCCCCGTCCCTCCTCCCCCCCTTCCCTCCTCCACCACCATCTTTCCCCCATTCCCCCTCTCCCTCCAACCCCCCTCCCCCCACCCCGGACTTCCCAGAGCAAATACAGGGTATAACATTTAACAAACAGAAACTAAAATATGCTAACTTTCTGTAGGCTCTTAATTCCCTCTTGCTCTTTAACTCCCCTTTCAACTAACAAAACATAATTCAAAAAGAAAAAGTCGATTTCATTCATAAGCTATTTGAAGCTTTTTAGTCCGATATTTGTTTTGAATATAGTCAATCCATCTTCTCCATTCCGATATATATCTTTCATTTGAATGGTCCTTCAAATACGCTGAAATTTTGGCCATCTCTGCTATGTTCACTACTTTTAGTGTTCATTCTTCAATAGTAGGCAAGTCTTCCTTCTTCCAATACTGTGCCACCAAAAGTCTGGCTGCTGTTATTAAATTTAAAATCAACTTAGTCTCTATAACAGTACAAACTGTAATTATACCTAACAAGAAGAACTGTGGAGTAAATTTTATCTTCTTTTTGGAAATATTTTGAAATAATCCACCATATTTTTATCCAAAATGCCTTAATTTTTTTAAATGTCCACCATATATGATAATACGTGGCATCATCACATTCACATCTCCAACACTTGGGTTGCACACTTGGATACATACAGGCTAGCTTTTTAGGATCTAGATGCTATCTATAAAACATTTTATAAAAATTCTCTCTTAAGTTTTGGGCTTGCGTAAACTTCACATTTCTAACCCATATTTTTTCCCACGTTTCCATCATTATTGGTTCTTCAATATTTTGTGCCCACTTTATCATACAGTCCTTAACTAAGTTAAGTTGATTCAAAGATTTTAGTTGTAGTATACCTCTTTCCTTGTTAAGAAGCTCTTTATATGTAATCACATCTTGTTTTTGCTCTACACTTATATTCTCTATCGCATGTCTGGGTATTGCCCACATTGGTAACTTCTCGTTTAATTTATACTTATACTTTTTCCAGACACGCAATAAAGCATTCCTTAATATGTGACTTTTAAAAGTCTTATCCAAAAAATATGGAACGCTTCACAAATTTGCATGTCATCCTTGCGCAGGGGCCATACTAATCTTCTCTGTATCGTTCCAATTTTAGTATATGTGCTGCCGAAGTGAGCACAACCTTCCATCCTTCTGAGGTTGGTAAAATGAAGAGACAGATTTTGGGGCCAATATGCTGATTCTGTAAACCACTTAGAGAGGGCTGTAAATATTATATAAATCTAAGTGTTATTGCTATGTTTGCTGTTATATAATCCCATTGGAAAATTTCTGCAGTGTTGTTTCTTCAACATTCATAACCTCTGTATGATATAATTGACTTTTATTTCTGCATGTTTTAGCATCCCTTTTTTTATCATAAATTCTATGGGCCAATGTCAAAGCCCATTATTTGGTTCTGCCTGAAACTCCTAAATCTATTCCAGGTCTTTAATGTTCTTCCAGTTTGCTCTATTCACAGATCATCAACCCCTCAAAAGACAAAACATTTCATTTTTATGCTACCAAGTCATATTACTTCTCATTTGTTTCTGAATGCCTCTTCTTCAATTACTCAATTTTTTTCCATGTTAGCTGTTCCTCTCTGTATAAGCAATTTGACTTTAGCTCTGTTTGTCTCTCTAAATTAGACCAGTTTTCACATAATACAGTGTCATTTTTGAACTAATATTAGAACATTGTAGCCTTTCCTTACTAATGTAATCATTTTATGGACAAAATACAGGCATGTTACTAAATATTGCAAAAAGAAAAAAATAATCAATATTGGAAATGATATGATACAGAATATGATATGAAGAATGAAGTCCCACAGAAATAATATTATTTCAATATAATTGAAATTTTACTAGGATTGAAATTTGTAGATTTCATTTCTGTGAAGGCCTAAAGAGCAGCATGGTGACCTAGTACTGAAGATGCTCACCTCCCACTCAGAAATTTGAAAGTTCAATTCTAGGTAGTGGTGGATGTTCCCTTCCTAGGGTGGAAAGAAAAAATATCTGCTGCAAACTCCACATAGGCATCAGGAAGGGCATCTGGCCAGTAAATTCTCAGCTTCATCCAATCACCCCAACTGTATCCCAAATAGAGACTACAGGATCATAAAAAGAAAGTTTTATTTCTGTCAAGGCCTAATAATCAAGCTTTCTTGAGAAAATAGGAGTAGATTAGCATAATATCTCAGAAATAACTGAGAAGTTCATCATTCATATAAAAACAATGTAATCAAATCAAAGTAGACATGTTGAAACTTGAACACATTTTATATAAATTTAATTTTCATTATATTTTGACACACCCTCCTCCTCACCAAACCCACATTGGGACCAAAATTGTTCCTGGAATATCTATTTACAGCATCACAAAATTATGTTACTGACATATTAAAAATGAAAAATGGTATTGCAGTCTCACAATTATACAGTTACCACAATTAGACCTTTCTGAGCATTATTAGTTATTCCAACAATAACTAATAACAGATCATTAGCTTAGCTAGGTGGCAATACCAAATCAAACGTACCTCAACAGATTGGTTTTAGTTTATATTTACATGGGAGGCCACAAGGGCTATAGAAAATACTATTATATTATAATGACACTATGTTAAGAATATTAAAAGCTACCTGAATTCAGTACATGAAATGGATACAAATAAATGGGGACATTAGGACAGGGATGGTAGGCACATTGGTGCGCTAATGCATGCCCCATACAGACCTCTTAGGAATGGGGTGAGGTCAACAGTAGACAGTTTAAGGTTAAAGTTTTGGGGGTTTGGGGAAGAAACCACAGAGTCAGATAGTGCATTCCAGGCATTGACCACTCTATTCCTGAAGTCATATTTTCTACAATTGAGTTTAGAGTGGTTTACCTTAAGTTTGTATCTATTGTGTGCTCGTGTATTGTTGTGTTATTGAAGCTGAAGTAGTCATTGACAGGTAGGACATTGTAGCATATAATTTATGTACTACGCTTAGGTCAGACCGAAGGCAACATAGTTCTAAGTTGTCTAAGCCCAAAATTTCAAGCCTGGTGGCGTAAGGTATTCTACTGCAAGAAATATTATTTTTCAGAATAATTTTTATAAAATTATATAAAAATTATAAAATAATTTTTAGAATTATTTTTTAAAAATTCTTAGTTTTCAGTGAGTAGGGGAAAATATATTTAATATTATTGGATGAGTTGATATTTTAAGGGTGAGGTGGACTACTCTCAAAATTGCACTGTAAATCTAGTGTTTTATTTTGTTCAGGAAATGTTTAAATTATTTTATTTTGTAGCTCTGGGAAGATGCCCAGGTAATCAACAGTTTAAAGAATGTGGTTCTCCATGTCTCAAGACTTGTTCTAATCCTGAATACAGTTGTTCCAGCTACTGTACATATGGCTGCTTCTGTCCAGAAGGTACGATAAATAAAAATAATATGTAGAATCATCTTGGCATGAATATATTTAAGCTGCTAATTGTTGAATACTACTGTATTTTAGAGATTGTAGCAAGAGCTATATTTATATCCAATGTTTCAGTATGCAGCATTTATAATAATACTGTAGATCTCTCTCCCTTTCAAGAGATAATGTTATGTTATTTACCTGAATTCGCTTGTAATGGATGTTTTAATAATACAGGTAGTCCTCAATTTATGACCATCACTGAGCTCAAAATTTCTGTTGCTAAGTGAGATATTTGGATTTAGACAGATTGAGTTTAGAGCAGAGGTATCTAACCTTGGCAACTTTAAGCTAAAGCTAAAGCTGGCTGAGGAATTCTGAGAGTTGAAGTCCACAAGTCTTATAGTTGTCAAGGTTGGAAACACCTGGTTTAGAGTACTTTGCATCAATCACATGGCCAATAAGCTATTGCAGAACAAAAGCAGTGGATAAAATGAAATAATCCCAGTATGCGTGAAGAATACAGGTAATCCTCAATTTACAACCAGAATTGAGCCCAAACTTTCTGTCGTTAAGTGAAACATTTATTAAGTGAATTTTGCCCCATTTTACAACCTTCCTTTCCCCAGTTTTTAAGTGCAGTTGTTAAGTTGGTGGCATATAGTAGTTGTCAAGTAAATCTGGCTTCACCATTGCCTTTGCTTGTCAGAAGGTCGCAAAAGAACTGTCACAAATATGAAACAGTTGCCAAATGTTCGAATTTTGATCACATGACCTCAGGGGTGCCACAATGTTTGTGTGAAAAATAATCCCAAATCACTTTTTCAGTGCCATTGTAACTTTGAACGGGTCACTAAACAACTGTTGTAAGTCAAGGACTACCTGTACTTCCCTTGAATCAGAATTTGGATATTGATTCTGAAAATTAGTATAGCGGCAAATAACAGCAGTAGCATTTGTCATTTTCAGAGTTGGTTAAGTGATCCTTTCACTAAGCATACAGTAAAACCAGATGCTTTATGTACTTCGAGACAGAAACGCTTTACTTCACGATTTCCTATGTAAAAGGCTTTCTTGATGCTCAAAGACAGAAATGCACATCTAGGCTGGCATTTTACACACATCAGGATTCAGAATGAATAGAAAAACTGGAACTTGAGTATGATATTGATAGTTAAATGAATGGATCCAATTTATTCCAGAGCAATAATTTTATTGCCAAATCTCAAGCTTTGTGCGGTCAAGATTAATTAAACTGTTTCTCTTTAATTTGTTCTTATGTTTTCTTTTCTTATCAGGCACCGTTTTGAATGACATTTCACAAAACCAAACATGTATTCCTATTGAAGAGTGTCCATGCACATGGAAGGAGAAGATATTTGCTCCTGGTGATGTCATTAAAGCAACTTGTAGAACCTGGTGAGAACTCTTACAAGACCTATAATTGATATTTCAGTAATGGCAATTATGTTATACCAAGTGAGGCTAGTGTTTTATTATAAGAAAAGAATTAATACATTTCAAGTACTATGAGATCAATCTGTAAGTATGAATATTTTGTAAATGATATATCAGCATCCATGAGTAACTTACTTTTCACAGCTGATAAAACAACTACATCTCTCACAGTTTGTAATATTAATGTTAATTATTAAAAAAATTAATATTGTTTATCGAACAATTTCACAGTTAACAAATGATAATAGAGCCCAAGTTTTCTCCCACTGGTGTGATTGATTGATTGATTGATCAATTGATACATGCCATCAAATTATTATAGACCCTTGGTGATCTGGTCTTTCAGCTCTTCTAACAGCACCCCAAAACTGGGTGAATCCACCTTGCTGCTGGACATCCATTAGACCCTTCTCCAGAGACCTAGACTGGCTGATGTAAATATCTCCTAAATAAATGTTTAATATTGGGATATTTCATCAATAGAAAGGACTAAACTGGATTTCAGTGATGTTCCTTCTTTCATGACCTCTGAAAATCTGTTCTGAAGGATTATACAGTACACTCAAAATAGAAATGCTTATAGTTTTCCTTATGAACCGAAGTTATTCTGTTAGTGTTAAGAGTACTTAATATCCATTGAGGCAATAATAACTATGTTTCAAAACTATGTGAGAATTCTTGACCTAATTCCATGCTATTTGGTGACACAGGTGTTTCTGGGTACATCACAAGAGAAAAAAAAAATGATTATTTGGAAGAGATAAATAATATAATCTCCAGTACGATCATCCAAAAGTAAACTTAACTTTGCAAGTTGGTCCTTTCTGCCACTTCTGCCACTTGCCAGCACCTCTATTTTTAAAATAAAATAAAATAATATTTAAATTAAAGTATCAGTTGAAGTGGAGAATCTGGGGGGGGCTCAAAGTAAGGTATAGGCACATATAGTACTCTGGGAAATCTAGAAGGTAGGTTGGTAAACTTAACTCTGCACATTACAGTATTAAATTCTGTACAGTATAAACTTTATCTACTCCACCCATCCCTAGATTTATAATGTTCTCTCCCAGGAATTTGTGCATAGAATGAAAACTTCTCTAACTAACAGACAGTAATGCTGTACAGGTAAAGTTGAGGATACTTTGATGTCACATACATAATGTCAAAGGGGCTACTCCATATTGTTTACATGTTTGTTTAAAAATGGTTGAATAAGGATATACTAACCTTCTTAGTTAGTAGCTGACCTGTATATTTCTTTCCACCAGTAAATGTACAATGGGCCAATGGACCTGTACAGAACAACCATGTCCTGGCACGTGTTCTTTGGAAGGCGGTTCCTTTGTCACCACTTTCGACTCTAAACCATACAGATTTCATGGTGTCTGCACCTATATCCTTTTGAAGGTATTTTACATATTAAAACTCTTGTTCAACTGCTACTCTTTAATTTCATCCATCACTTAACATTTTCAGAAGTATCTTCTTGGTATTAAAAATATTATCCTTTATTTAGAACATTCCTTTAAAACTCTCTTTTTAAGGATGTAGAGAGATATTCTCCAGTCCTTGGACTATGGTATTTTTTCCCATATTCTTTGCATGTTCTTTATTGTTTCCATGCCAGCCTCCTTTAACATCTCTATAGAGATTTCCCTGAAGTCTCCTATTTACTGGTTGTTTTAAAGTCTATTTGATATCCTCCTCAACCAGCATTGATTCCTCCCCTCCTCCTCCTTTTCTCTTTCTCAAAAGACAATGTAATCTGACTTGGCCTTTTTGTACAAGGTTCTTTCCATATATTCTTTCCGTCTTTTCCCCTCCATGTTCACTATCACTAAGTCTTTTCCAAGCACTTTATGACATAAGAGGTTGGAATCTTCCCATGGTTTCTCAAATATTCTTAAATCCTTTGTTCTTTTCCCTGTCATTTTCTTCTATACTTTATGAGTTCAGACAAACTATCACTTTTCACCTGTTATTTGAAGTTTACTAGCTTTTGCACAGTCTATTCTGGTTTCCTTAGATGCCATTTCTTAGCTACTTCTACAGCCTAGTTCTATAAACTTGTTAGATAGCTAGTGTGTTCTTTGTTATCTTCTAGCTCTTGTTTTATGCCTTCTATAAACTAAGAGTGCTACTCTGTTCTTAATTATTCAAATATATGCTCGCTGATGTCATTTGTTTATTTCAAGCTAAGTAGGTATAGGACTGAATACTGAAATCTTAATCTGCTTTCAGTATTTACTCTTGCAGAATAAAACTGCCATATTAACTGGTTATAGGGCCATCAAACTATATGTTTGCACATATAATTACATATAAAGCTTTTAGTAAATATTGTTTTATTTATATAACCAATTTGCAAATCTCACTACATAGAGAGGCAAAAACTTCATTGGGGAATTAGTTATTTCTATTATATTATTCCTGTTGTGCTTTCCTTTGTGTTTGTGTGCCTTCAAGTCAGTCTTGATTCTCAGTGACTACCTGGAAAAGTCCTTATAGTTTTTGGAAGAGGTTTGCCATTGGCTACTTCCTAAAACTGAGAGAGACTGACTGGCCCAAGATCACCCAGCTGGCTTTATGCTTAAGGCAAGACAAGAATTCACAGACTTCCATTTTCTAGCTTGGTGTCTTAACCACTAGACCAGATTGGCTCTCTATTCTCATTGCAGTATGGCTATTAAAGGACTAAACAACATTTTTATTAATATCTGCCAATACAGTTTTCTTAAAAACTGAAGCTATCTGCCCAGCTATCAATGTCAGCCTGACTGATCTGGACCCATATATCTTCTTTTGAAGGAATTCTTTTGAATTTCTTTCTAGCCTTTCTTAAAAAAAGAAAAAGTTAAATCAGATCATCAATGAATCATACCCCAGGATGCTGCCTATCTCTTTGTGAAGATTTCAACACATTTATACCTAAATTCTTCGATTATGTTTCTATCAAGTTGCAGTCCTTCAATCAATCAATCAGAATAGAGCTGGGAGGGACTTTTGAGGTCTTCTAGTCCAATCCCCTGCTCAATCAGAAGACCCTATAACATTTCAGACAAGTGATTGTCCCGTATCTTCTTAAAAACGTCCAATGAAGAAGCACCTACAACTTCTGAAGGCAACCTATTCCACTGGTTAATTGTTCTCACTGTTAGGAAGTTTCTCTTTAATTCCAGATTGCTTCTCTTCTTGATTAGTTTCCATCCATTGTTTCTTGTCCTGCCCTCTGATGCTTTGAAAAATAAGTTGACCCTCTCCTCTTTGTGGCAACCTCTCAAATTCTGCAATACTACTGTCATGTCATCCCTAGTCCTTCTTTTCTCTAGACTAGCCAAACCCAATTCCTGCAATCTTCATTCTCTTCTTCATAATTGTCTGGTGGAACATGTACCCTCTTGTTAGAAAAGACTGGTCCAAAAGAGAAGCTAAAATAAGGCTTAGTTTAAACTACCCCTTTCTCCATTTGGATGTAAAAAAGTAAAATGTGAATGAAACAAATGTGTTCATAAATATAATTGGTCCAGTGAGCCAGGATCCCCTGCATAGTAGCTCCATCCTGAGCATGAATATATGGATTGTTTCTGCAAAATGATGCATGATTTTATAAAATGCAAACATTTAACACAACTTATAAAGCTGGTGGGAACTTATAAAGCTGAAGGGATGTGGTGGTTCAGTGGCTAAGACACTGAGCTTGTCGATCAAAAGGTCGGCAGTTCAGCAGTTCGAATCCCTAGTGCCATGTAATGGGGTGAGCTCCTGTTACTTGTCCCAGCTTCTGCCAACCTAGCAGTTCGAAAGCACGTAAAAAATGCAAATAGAAAAATTGGGACCACCTTTGGTGGGAAGGTAACAGCGTTCTGTGTGCCTTTGGCATTTAGTCATGCCGGCCACATAACCACAGAGACGTCTTCAGACAGCGCTGGCTCTTCGGCTTTGAAACAGAGATGAGCATTGCCCCCTAGAGTCGGGAACGACTAGCACATATGTGCAAGTGGAACCTTTACCTTTACCTATAAAGCTGGTAGAGTAGTGATAGAGAAGAAGTGAAAGGAGGTGTGTTTTTTTTTTCCTTCTACAAACATTGCATTTCTTTCTCTTTTAGAGCTCCATGTTACCACACAATGGAACTTTAATGGCTGTATATGAAAAGTCTGGCTTTTCCAATTCAGAGTCATCCTTGGCAGCTATCATTTATATCTCAGAAAAAGTAAGTATCCAACCCACTGATAATATTTCACCTGAGAATGTACAAATACAATCAAATGTAGCCATTATAACATAGGAACATTATCCGCCCCATTGACATTCAATCTACTTAGTGGTGGATAATGTTTTCAGATACAAATACACAGAGTGCAGAACAGAGTGAAAGGTGAGAGAAATATGTGTGCCTGGAAGCAAAAATAATGATATGAAAAATTCTTTGAAGCATTGACCTGGTCTGCACATTATACAAAGCTATGTTTTGTTTAACAATGACTTTATTATGTAAATAACAATTGAGTAGTTCTTAAAATTGGTTTGCAGAGTCCCTGATGTGGTCACTCAATCTCACAAGATTTTAGCATTTTTCTCTGAAACATCAGGTTGTAATTCTTTCACAAAATTGCAAAGGTTTTAGGTGCAAATACTAAAAATATGTGAAACTTGATGGATTTGGTTTAAAGAAGGCTATTTTATTTATATATATTTTATAGTCTAAATCTAATCATAGGAAAGTTCAATATTTTGTTTGTCTTAGAACTAAGCCTGGCTTCTAATTCGGATTCTGTTTTATGCACAGGAGAAAATTGTGATTTCCAAGAATGAAGTGTTCAATGATGAGAATGAACTTAAGTGGTTACCTTACACATCAGGTAAGAGAAGGGAGAATATAGAACAAGCATTCAATAACTTGATGGTTTTGTCAACAATGTGCATATTACCTGTATATATTTTCTATGTTATTTGTATTAAGATGTATTATATTCCAGCTAGGTGGGACGCATATTTAAATAAACAAAGCCTAAAAGCAAAGTTTGCAAAAAGGTTTATGTTCAGTTTAAATCATGATTTACATAGATAAACTGCACTCAATATAATTTGGTTATCTGATCTATTTTATTTTAGGGGACATCATCATCTTCAGACAATCTTCAACTCACATCCAGATGCACACTCCTTATGGGTTGGAGATATTAATTCAAACTGATACAGTATTTCAAACTTACATTAAAGTTGGACGCCATTTCAGAGGCACAACCCGAGGTAAACAGTTTTCTTGATTGGTGACTTCTCTGTCTGAAAGCTGGAAGCCCTTGTCAACAAATAATTTCCAGAGTTTTATTTTCTACTAATGCAAATAGATGAACCTTTCTACTGAGAATTTCCTTTGGGACTGGGACATAGATATCATTATTGTTAACTCCATTATCCCCTTTCAAATAAATCCAAATTTGTAAAACAAGCCATTTATACAGGGATTTCTTTACTGAATCTGGAAGCCACGCAATATTGAGGTGAATGTACAGGTGGATTTTCTGTGCCAAACTTGAGGGGAAACTTGAGGGGTTTGTTGAATAGTTGTTAATCAGGAGTTATTCTGATTCTCTTCACTGTCTCCTTCTTTTGAGACTGTTATTTTTTTTTATTTAAGGAATGAATTAAGCTGCCCAATTCAGAGAGAGAGAGAGGGAGGGAGGGAGGGAGAGGGAGGGGGGAGGGAGAGGGAGAGAGAGAGAGGGAGCGAGATGACACACATAGACGCTCAATAGGACAAAACAGAATCATACACACAGACACACAAACACAAATGTTTTGTTACACAGAAAACAAAAAAGCATAAGTCTATTTAAATTGTAACCTATGTAATGACAAAACCAGTGTCATGAACACTGGAGGCAATGTGTGTGTGTGTGTGTGTGTGTGTGTGTGTGTGTGTGTGTGTGTGTGTGTGTAACAAAGTACTTATGCATGTCATGGGAATCAATAAGATATTTTTCATTACTGATATATAGTTTAAAAAATCCTTCCTTTTTTATCATTGTTACCTTCTCATTTCACCAGGGTTATGTGGTAACTACAATGGAGAAACCACAGATGATTTTATGACCAGTATGGATATTACTGAAGGAACTGCTCCTCTTTTTGTGGATTCTTGGAGATCTGGAAACTGTCCACCTGCTATTGAGCGAGATACAGATCCTTGTTCTATGAGTCAGCTGAACAGTATGTAAAGTCTTTGGTCCTTTGTGGGCATGGGAGTGGGGAAAAGATGTGAATTATGATAAATATGCACAAGGAAGGTAATAGAAGTTTTCACTTGTGGGGAAGAGAAGAAATGCTTATGAATAAGACTTCTAGGAGTATCACCACCTGATGGTTATTTATTTGTTTGTTTCATTCTGGTTCACCTCATGGCTCCTTTTAAAAGATTTGGAAAATTGTGTGTGAGAAGCAGTGTACTTTTCTTCCTGAATCGTTTCCTGATCTAAATCATCTCTCCCTCATGAAAAGCAGCTACGATTCTTGGTTATGGTTCTCTCATGGCTGTACTCAAAAGAATCTAGATCAGGGGTATCAAACGCCTGCAAGCCAGATCCGGCTAGCGGGGTGTTTAGATCTGGCCTGCAGGGCCACCCTGGAAATAGCAAAGTACTGGCCTGTGTTGCCTCTGCCAGTGAATTTTCACTGGCAGAGGGCTGCAGGAGGCCATCGCAGCCAAAAACGGAGCCCATTTTCGCTGCAGAGGGCTGCAGGAGGATCCCCCCAGCCCCGCCCCGCCCGTACCACCACAAGTGCCCACAACACGAGTGACGTCCAGCTGGCCACGCCCACCCCAGCAATGCTCACCCGGCCCTCTGAAGTCAAACACAACCCTGATGCAGCCATCAATGAAATAGAATTTGACATCCCTGATCTAGATCCAGCTATCCTACTCTTGCCTTACATAACATTGAACTAACTGTAAGTGAGGAATAATACATAGTTTTTTTGAGGAGATTAAATTTCTTTTTACAATAATAGCTGTAGCCTTTGCTATTATTATATAATAATAATATTTTGGTTGAAGAAGAGCTTTTTATAATATCTTACTTAATAACCTGACTAGGTGGCTCAGTGGCTAAGACACTGAGCTTGTCGATCAGAAAGGTCGGCAGTTCGGCAGTTCAAATCCCTAGTAGCAGAGGGTTAGACTAGATGATCTCCAAGATCCCTTCCAACTCTGTTACTGTTACTGTTAAACAGTGACAAAACAATGTTAAGTATTGAATAGTTTTGGTGATTTGATCTCCAACTGGATTGCATTCTCAGAGCTCAGGTATTGGCTAGCACAGTCCAAGGAATTATTATCTAAAGCTGCTGTCTGTAAATTCCCAACTCACAATCATACAATATAAATACAACCATGCTAAATTCATTTCCAGTCTGTGGGTGATAAGTTGTTATGGGAGAAGTATACGTTGTTTTTTAAAGTGTTAGGAGATGGTTAGCCACTAGAACAGTGAGTGATATGGCAGCAGTTATAATATATTATTTAAACATTGCCATTCTACTTAAAAAGCATAAACTTTTGAGTTTCAGCAATAACCACACAAAAGGGTACATCATGCTTATAACTGAATAAAAATATTCATGTTATATAAATGGGGAAATTAACTAGGGAATGGATATTTTATATTCAAAATTAAAAATAGATTAAAATTGGCTAGGCTTCTAGGATCTTTAAGAAAAACATAAAAATATAACTTTCACTGGCATATGTAGTGAGAAATTCACCCAGGGAAATAATTACAATTCTAGTTTGACTCTGGTTTCCAAAGTTGTATTAAATTTTCATTTTAAGATTAGCTCTGGTATCATTGAACTTGTTTCATACCTGTTTTTTTTCCCCCTAGAAATATGTGCAGAGACCTACTGTTCTGTTTTAAAAATGAATACATTATTTCAGAAATGTCATTCTGTGGTGAATCCTGATCCGTTTGTCAAGGTAGGGATTTTTGTGTTCTGAGGAGAAAAACTGCTGGACGTTAGATTATGAAATGCATGACAGAGTTCAGTAGCAACTGTTATTTGGGATTTGATATTTTTCCAGATTTATTTTAAATAATCTTTACCAGATCCACACACATTTTTAAGAGCTTATGTGATCTAAGGCAGGGGTCTCCAACCTTGGCAACTTTAAGATTTGTGGACTTCAGCTCCCAGAATTCCTCAGCCTGCTTTGCTGGCTGAGAATTCTGGGAGCTGAAGTCCACAAGTCTTAAAGTTGCCAAGGTTGGAGACCCCTGATCTAAGGAACCAAGGCCCTGGGTACAAACCAAGAGACCGTGACATTTAGTCCTATTATGGGCATGAAAGCCAGCTAGGTAACTTTGGTCCATTCATACTCTCTCAGACCCAAAGGGCTGCTTTGTGGGGAAAAAAGAAGGAGGAAGGAATATTATGTATGTTCATTAATATTATGTATGTATGTTCGCTGCCTTGAGTTATTTATAATAAAGGTGGGATATAAATAAATTAGACAAGATGGCAGAACAGAGGAATAGCAGGAATAATAACACTTTTAAAGAGAAGCATACAAAAGCTATCCGATTCCATCAAAGACATCTCTGGAAATAAATGGGAAGAAATATAGTTGCATCAGGTCTATGCAGACCTACTTCTTCTCCTATATGCTAGAATACAAACAATTTTCTGTGGCTTCTGATGTTACCCAGAGTCCCAAATATTAGGCAGAGACAGGCCTTGGAAAGGAAGAAATTAACCACACTGGGTAGTCCAATCCATAACAGCATCGAGAGATGGAACAGAACCCTCTATTCCACTGGACGCTCACTATAAAGCATCTTTGAACTGATTTATGGCTTCTGTAAAATTCAAAACTATTTTAGTGATAAATGGCCTTTTTTTCTCTAAAGGCCAAGCTAGCTTTTTTAAGATTGTCAACTCAACCAAATAATATTTTTCTCATCTTTTCTCTTTTCCCCCTCTTAAAAAAAGTATGTTTAGTCAGAAGAAGATCCCACTGGCTACTAGCATGTTCCCAGATAAATAGGTTTGGGATTGAAGCATTAAAGACTTCTTCTTTGTAGTCTGGAATGTCATATTATGATATGTGGAATCAGGATAATAAGACAAATTTGTAGTCCAGGCTAGAGAATTGCCAAATTTGCTAGAGCATTTCAGGAAACAATGCATTTTTTCTTACTTCAATTTGCACTACAGGATGATGAGTTTATACTAAAGGTAGATAATGTGAACTGATATACAATTCCTATCTGAAACTGCTCGACATTTGTTATGCTTATATGACTTGTAGCAGTAAAATTCCAATAAAAATATAGTTGAAAGTGGTCAATTTATCTTATCTTCGGCATTTTGTCAAGAGTTCTCACCGAATATTGCTATACCAGGCTCTTCAATTCTTCATTCTTTGTAGCTCAGACTACAAATTTCCCTTATTCTCCTGATAAATTATTCCACAAACAGACTCTCCAAATATATTTTATTGCTTTTATCAGTTTTATTTTTTTTAACTGTGGACATACATTGCTGGGTGTTTAAAATTAGTTTAACCCTTTGGGAAACTGTCAGAGAAATTTGGCAGAAAATAACATTTTAAACTTCTGAATATTTATGTATTTTCAGAATATGATTGTGGAAAAAAAAATAGCCACTTCACATTACCCAAAATGCTAAAATGAACCTTCTAAATTATAAGGAAATCAATATTTTGCAGTACTTCAACTAATCTTTCATTTAGTGTGCCATCCGAACCCATAGACACAGTTTCATTTTCATAACGAATACCGTCTTTATTTTTGAATACAGAGTACTATGCCTGTATTCCTCTGCGAAATGAGGACTTGTGTAAGGACATAGAGCTGCTCTAAAACAGTTTCATTATTCAATAACAAAACAAATTATATTAGCATGTTTCAGTGATATACACATGTATCTGAACTAGTTCTAGTGCTCCAGCATTCAAGATTTCTGATGTGTTACTGACTAAGTTCAACTTGTTTTCAGAGATGTCAATATCAAGCTTGTAACTATGAAGAGACCTTTCCATATATTTGTTCTGCTCTTGGTTCCTATGCCCGTGAATGTGCTTTAAAGGGAATATTTCTTTGGAACTGGCGCAGTACAGTCGACAACTGCAGTAAGTAGTCTCCAGATTAGTTTAAACTACAAGAATTCCCCACTTCATTAAATAGTTTTTATATAGAGTACTAAATATACAGGTAATCCTTGACTTATGACCACAATTGAGCCCAGAATTTATGTTGTTAAATGAAAAATTTGTTAAAAGAGTTATGGCCCATTTTACAACTTTTCGTGCCACATTTGTTAAATGAATCACTGCAGTTGTTAAATTAGTAGCATAGTTGTTACTTGTCAGAAAATCACAAAAGATGAGCGTATGACACACATCCCCAAGACACTGCAACCATCATAAATATGAACCAGTTATCAAGCATCCAAATGTAAATCATGTGATTATAGGAATGTTGCAATGGTCATAAGTGTGAAAAATGGTCATAGGTCACTTTTTCCAGTGCCATTGTAACTTCAAATGGTCATTAAACGAACTCTTGTAAGTTGAGGGCTACCTGTAGTTGATCTAGTCTTGATAACCTAAGTAGTAGTGGATCTTGCAATTCTTCTCATATAATGAAGACTCATATTTGTCGTTCTCATATTATCATGTCCACATTGAGCAGGTATTTGAGAAAACTACCGTCAGGATTCAACGGTTCTCTGAGATACTCCAACTCCTTTTCCAGCAGAAGTCTAGTTAGGTTCACACTGTGAATGAGCTTGTACACATAGTGTGCTAACACATTATGTAACTCGTTTCACCGGTAGTACACACCCAGAAAACTGGAGCTTATTTAGTAAGCTGTCATTAAATAACAACCTGAGCATGATGTAAAGGGGAGATGTTGAGTCACTGAATTTCCAAATACATAACAACTGATTTCTTGTGTAAAGAGAAACAGAGTCATTGAAAGTTTCTGACCATCCAAAGCTAATTATGCTGTTTGTGTCTGCAGCTGTATCTTGTACTGGAAATCAGACATTCAGCTACAATGCAGAAGCTTGCGACCGGACATGCTTATCCCTCTCCAGCAGAGAAACTGAATGTCACCCCACTGATGTGCCTATTGATGGCTGCAATTGCCCAAAAGGAACCTACCTGAACCACAAAAATGAGTGTGTCCAGAAAGCTCAGTGTCCCTGCTACCTGAAAGGCAGAAAGATCATTCTAGCAGATCAATACACCGTCATCGATGGAGCTACATGGTAAGCCTTTATTGACATCTTTCTGTTAACATTTTTCCACATCAGTTGAAACATGGTTGTTGAACACTAAGCTGGTTCAAAAGGAAAATTATAGCTTTTCCTAAATGATTCAGGCTCAGACTTTGTGTAAAAATTCTTGAATCTAAATATCTGTAAGAGCATTTTAATATACCCTTTCTTTTTTAGCTACTGCATTAATGGAAATCTGACTTGTATCGGCAAACCAACAAATCTCTTAGGTATGGATCTCATTTTCTTTCCTAGTGTATCCTTTTCCCCTACATGACAGAAATATGACATTATGCTTGTCTTATTTCCCTTTGCAGAAATCTGCAGCCCCCCCAAAAAGTACATTTTATGTTCAGCCTCCTCAGGAAGTAAATATGGGGCTGCTTGTGCACCAACATGTCAAATGCTGGCCACTGGAACGGACTGTGTGAGTCAATACATTTGTAATACTTAAGGGCTATCAAAAGCATGTGAGAGATTGCTGTAGCTGTATGATGGAAAGACTAGTTGCACTAATTCTATGATGAAATATCCTTCTGAAATGTTACCTCTTTACAAGCCAGACTAAAGCTTGGCCCATGAAATGAAATGCATGTTCTTGGAATATTGATAGCCTCATGCAAAAGAAAATGATCATAAATACAAAATAGCAGCAATATTTCCCAAGTATCTAAATGATCAAGGGAGAGAGCAGGATTATCAGTTCTAGTCATCACTGCATTGGGACTGAAGTTGAGTCCACAGTTCAGTTAGTTCCTTATGGGTGATATGATTCTGATGTTGCATCAAATTAAAGAGACAAAAACCTTCCTGCAATGGGTTAATATCAAAGGGGCTGTGGGTGATGAGAGCTGTTTCATCTCAGAAGATTATAACTCTGTGCTTGCAAGCAAAGAAAATGAGAAATGCTCTGCCCATTTCCCATCCTATCAGCTTTACACTGCAGCAGAAAAAGAATAAACCTACAGCATGATAGCCACTACAGCCTGTTTATATATTTCATGAATTTGGAGGTTGCAATTCTAGATCTCTTTTGCTGGGAGCAAGGTCCACTAAATTCAGTGGGTTGCACAAGTAAGCATGATCGTACCGTAAATCTCATTCCTCCAGTCTCAATACCGGTATGTGCTTTCATTTTAGACAAGTTTGGGTGGCTATTCATCTTCCTAGTTCCAAAGCCACCATCTGATATCAAGTTTAAAATGTTAGACTAGCCCAGGGAGACTCAGTTTCAAGTCCACCCTTAGCCACAGAAGTTCACTAGGTGACTTTGGGCCAGTCATTCCCTTTTGGGTCTATCTTCCTCACTGGATAGTGGAAAGGGAAAATGGGAAGAAGAAGCACTTTCTACATTGCCTTGAGCTCTTGCACAAGGCAGAATGGAAATCTAAGAAATAAGATAAACAATAAGTAACAAACAGACTAAAGCATATGGAAGCAGATGCTCTTTATAGGTTAACACAATGATGTGGAATTCGTACAAGAATGTGGCCCAATGGTCCAACTACATGAAAGAGCTATTGTCAAGGAATTGTTAAAAAAGCACATCTGGACCTATATTTTTTTTATGGGAAAGATGAGGAGAAGTGGAATCATATGTTCATCTGCTGTATACCATCATGTACTGTATATTCTCCCTGACACATGGATAGTTGTCATAAATCACCGTCTCTTTTGCAGCTGGGGTAATATATAAAGAATATCATTTATTTTCACTGATAATCAATTGTTACAATGACACCATGGTATCAAGCAATTTTTGCTTTTGACAAAGTTTATGAGGACTGTTAAGTTGATTCACAGCTTTAAAATTAAGTTTCTACTGGGAAAGCCTGCAAGAATATGAACACATCCTTATAAAAATCTTGAAGCAGCATTTGGAAAACTGATTATTGTTTAATTTCATAAAATCTAGTATCAGTCTTGTTATTGTGTTTTCTGAGACTACACCAACTCACCACGTTTATAATAATGCTATTTATTGTTGTCATTTAACAGCGTAAAACAATCATGGAGAAGTTGAATGTACTTCATATATTTTTTAAAAATGCTCAGTAGTTCAGTAAAGCTAGGTGCATCTGTGCTTTAGGTACCCTTAGTTTTCCATATGCTGTTGTTAGTACATGACAGTATCTATATGCCTGATCTTTTCCAGATTCCTACCAAATGTGAATCTGGATGTGTTTGTGCACCTGGATTGTATGAAAAGCTAGATGGTACATGTGTGTCACCTGAGGAGTGTCCTTGTGAATATGGTGGCATTTCATATGAAAAAGGAGAAGAAATTAACACTGGGTGTAATACATGGTAAGATTTCTCATCCTAATCATTTGCATCCTTGGCCAAATTTCAATTCAATTAATAATTCATATGCCTAGGAAATGTCACATCTCTGTTTCTATACAGTTCATTACACTCCAGCTAGTGAAGCATCGCTAATCGAATATGTGAACTTAGAAAATAAAATTAGTGTCATATGAAAACACCAAGGGAATTGTTTTCACAAAGCAGCATGCAAACTTTTTATCCATTTCAAATCTTTCTAACAAGTACTTTATGTCTTATCAGTACCTGCACAAGAGGAAAATGGAAGTGCATTCAGAATTCCATGTGCTCTTCAACATGTAGTCTCTACGGGGAAGGTCATATCACCTCCTTTGATGGACAGCACTTTGCATTTGATGGCAACTGTGAATACATATTAGCTATGGTATTATCTCTTTTATTGTATCTTGCACACCTGTGGATAATGTCCTTAAAACATGGTAATTAGGTATGCTAAAACTAATAAAATAATTCAAGCCCTGTAGTTTAGAGTAAGCCCAGGTAGTCCTTGAATTACAACCATTCATTTAGTGACCATTCAAAGTTCCAACAGCACTGGAAAAAAAAATGACTTGCAACCAATCCTTGCACTTAAAACCATTGCAGCAGCTCCATGATCACATGGTCAAAATTCAGGTGCTTGGCAATGGCATACATTTATGACAGTTGCAGCCTCCCAGAGTCATGTGATCGCAGATTTGTGACCATCCCAGCCATCTTCTGACAAGTAAAGTCAAAGGAGGAAGTCGGGTTCACTTAACTACACGATCATTTAACTGCAGCAATTCACTTAACAATCATGGCAAAAAAAAGTCAGAAAATCATGAGTCACTTAACAACAGAAATTTTGGTCCCCATTGCATTCATAAGCCTAGGACTATTTATTTATTGATTTGATTTGATTTGATTTGATTTGATTTCTATACCGCCCTACTCCTGAAGGACTCAGGGCGGTGCATAGCCAAACAATAAAATACATACATACAAAATTTAAAAGTGGAATTAAAATCAAATTAAATAGTTTTGGCCCAGACAAATTAAAACCCCAATCAATTTAAAACCAATTTTTAAAATTTGAATATATAAAATACTAAAAAATATTAAAAATTAAAAATCTACCAGTACTACCAGTACTGGTAGGACTACCAGAACTGAGGAAAAAAGACACTCTGAAATATTTATGCTCTCTCTTTTAAATTAGGATTGGAGCAGGGGTGTCAAACTCATGTCATCACGGCAGCATCACATGATATATCGGGCCTTTTTTCCCCCTTCGCTAAAATGGGTGTGGGGTGGCCAGTGTGTGACGCATCCGGCCCACGGGCCAGGAGTTTGACAGCCCTGGATTAGAGGGAAGCTTTATGACAGAATGCCATAGCCTGACCTGTGATTTCAGGGCTAATGTGACTTTTTGGATATGCCACAGAATTGAAACATGACTGCCAAAAATCGCCACAGAATTGTAACATGATTGACAGGAAAAATTATTAAGTATGTGGTGAGGGATCTAGTTTAGTGATGGGATTCAAATAATTTAACAACCAGTTCTCTGCCCTAATGATTTCTTCCAACAACCAGTTCAGCAAACTGCTCAGAAAGTTAACAAGCGGTTCTCCCGAAGTGGTGCGAACTGGCTGAATCCCACGACTGATCTAGTTATATTTAATTTATTCAAAATAAAGTATAATTTAATTAAATCACATTTGGTTTTTGTTCTTAAACCAACCTTTGTCCTAATCTTGACCATTTGTTTTTAGTGCAGACCTTCACACTGAAAAAGTGTTATGTACCTGAACTTTATATTATTAGTTCCCTGATTTACACTTCTGGAGTTGGCAACAAGAGCTTTTCCTGACCAAAAAAAAAAAAGTAATATCAAAATAGATGCATTTTCACAGAAAAGCTAGCCTATAGAAGCAACACCTTCATCATCTAATGTTTTTGTATGGCTTTCTCTGCACATAATGCATTGCATTTTTATTGTTAAATATCATTCCTACATTTAAAAATGGTACAGACAGGAACTCTAACGAATTCAAAGAATATCTGCTAATATCTCCTTTCTATTTTAATTCCCTTTCCACTAGTCCACACTCAGATCTTGCTACTTTTTATGCACTTTACATATAGGAAAACAAATGAGACTAAAATTATGTTAAGCATTAAGGAGATGATCTTTGACATCACTAAAGAAAAACTGGAAATAACTTTACCTAAAAAAGAGAATGAATGAGGACTGAGATCTGCTTACAATGATAACTGATAGATATCCTTTTACTCTTGTTTAAATAGAAGTGGAATGTACTGTAACAGAAAACATTTTGCCCAGGTGGGCTTTATCATAAGATAACTTCAGTGTTCATTATTCCTCATAATTAATCATCCTGAAGCTGGAATTGAGTGAATCAACTCTTCAAACAGAGAATGCCTTCAAAAACAGGAGCATCCACTGACAGTCCTATAGGCAGAACCATATACTAGGAGATCTGGTTACCTAAATTGAACCTTACCTCCCTAGTGCAAAGCTCGATCAATATCATTGTTAGATCAAATATCCTTCAGTCTGCTTGTGTCTAGGATTCCAAAAGCCTGAGAGGCTGTATTTGTACCTTAATTCATTGCATGTATTTTTGCTATCCTGAATAAACTAATTATTATCTGGCTGTGCATTCCCTCCTAGGATGGCTGTGACATGGCTAAATCCCCACATACTTTTAAAATAGTGACTGAAAATGTTGTCTGTGGAAATACGGGGGTCACGTGTTCCAGAGCAATCAAGGTCTATCTTGGGGTAAGAACATGCTATAGTTACTATTATGCATGAGAAAGAGTGTTGCCATGCTGAGGGAATGGACAGAGACTTGAGAAAAGAGAGTACTATTTGTTAGGAAGGAAGCTGATAAAATACTAATCAGTGGTGCATTTTAAATGACACTGTACTCTACTTTTAAAAAATGGTCCACAACTCCCAGTGACTTGCACTACAATCATACCCGGGGGGTAGTTGTGATGAGAAGTATTTTTTCAAATCTTAGGTAGTGTGCATGGTGACCTTTTTTTCCTTGACAAATCAGATCTGTCCCAGTGTGATATATGGGAAATGTAGAAAGAGCTGCTTATAACAAGTCAGATCCGTCTAGCCTAATAAAGTCTACTCTATGGCAGCAACCTTTTCTTTCTACCTCCTATTTAATTGTCTCAAAGGTGCTTTTATCTTATAAATAAGATATAAATCCTTCCATTGTTATAATTGAAGAAGCTTCTCAGATGAGAAGTGAAACATCTTCAAGGAAAAAAAAGGAAGTCCAGTTGTCTTTTGAAAAAAAAACACCTTTGGGATAACCATGACCTGGATGACTGAAAATCTCCATAGATATTCTCCTATTTAATTCCTTTTTTTATTGAAAGTCCCTGAGATTTAGTCTGATTTTTCTACACTCTGCAACTGAGCTGTGATCTCTCTCCTCATGCCCAATCATATCCGTCTTGGTTTGTTACAACATATTCTCTCTTAGGCTGGGCGTGTTGGGAAGGGTTTAAATGGAAATAGAAATAGATCTGATACTATTTTTTCACTTTCATATATTTTCTTGACAGAATCTGACAATTGTCATGGGAGATAAAACATTTACTGTTTATGGTAGCAATCCTCTGGTACATTTCTTCATAGAAGAAAATACACTCCACTTGATTATTCAGATCGCAATCCCTGGCAAATACAATATGACCTTGATCTGGAACAGGCACATGAATCTATTCATCAAGCTTTTCAGAGAAACAAAGGTAATTGGAAGTAGATTCCTGATATGTTTGTCAAGCTTATTTTCCAAGGGAAGTAGCACATGTATTTCAACTTCAGGCATTAAAACCATACCTTATCATTTCAGCATCTGAGGTACACATTCTCATCAATTTAACCATAAAAAGCAACTGTTTGTTTGTTTGTTTTTCACACCTTAACCACCCATCTCCCCCAGAGCAGCTCTGGTGGTGAACAATTTAATCAATAAAATTAAGCATTAATATTGTTATTAACAATAAGAGTTGAATGCCCTTCTATGACATAGTTAATCAATGCCTGAAGTTTTGTATTCTTTTTCAACTCTCAGAAAATGGATTTCTGTGACATACGTATAAAGTTGAATAACTAATTTCAACATCATGATATGTTCTCCTAGATATCATAAGATGAAAGCAGAAATCAGGCAGGCACATTTGCTGAGTTCACACACCATGCCAAAGCTTTTATTTTCCTTTGGTTTTTGCTTTAGCCTAGCATTGTGTGTGTGCGGATTTATCTAGTGATTTTCAAATCATAGCGTTTGGCATTGTGTTATGAACAATGCTATTACTGGAAGCTAAAACATATGAAGAACAGTTGGAGGAACTGGGTATGTCTAGTTTAATGAAAAGAAGGACTAGGGGAGACATGATAGCAGTGTTCCGATATCTCAGGGGCTGCCACAAAGAAGAGGGAGTCAAACTATTCTCCAAAGCAAGTAGGACAAGAAGCAATGGGTGGAAACTCATCAAGGAGAGAAGCAACTTAGGACTAAGGAGAAATTTCCTGACAGAACAATTAAACAGTGGAACAACTTGCCTCCAGAAGTTGTGAATGCTCCAACACTGGAAGTTTTTAAGAAGATGTTGGATAACCATTTGTCTGAAGTGGTGTAGGGTTTCCTGCTTGAGCACAGGTTGGACTTGAAGACCTCCAAGGTCCCTTGCAACTCTGTTATTCTATTCTATGGCTTGGCTTGCACTCAACAAGTCCACAGCATAGTGCAGTTTGCAAGAGCTATCCAGCATTCATTTTCTAGGATTATATTTTTAAAGGCCCATCAAACACATAGGCATGTTTTCTCTGTTCAGAACTACCCTCAGTTGCTCCTATTTGTAAGAGGAGAAAGACACAGCTTCCCATATTTTTTTTCTCTAAAGAAAGGAAGCAACAGGGGATTGTAATTTTCAACAAATAAATGGATGACTAAATGGGAGGCTGGCCGATTTCTCTTGTCTCCTCTGCTGCTGCTGTGCTAGCAATTATCTGCACAACCTAAAATTACCAGTGTCTCTTTTGTATGTACGAAAAGATACGTATTTTATGGGTCAATGCGTTTTCCACAAATGATTTATTTTTTTAAATTTTATTTTAAACTAGAATCATCTTTGTGGCTTATGTGGTAATTACAATGGCAATGTAAAAGATGATTTTGAAACACGGAGTAAATACCTAGCATCCAACGAATTTGTGTTTGTGAATTCCTGGAAAGAAAATCCTCTCTGTGGAGATGTGTCCTTTGCAGCTGATCCCTGTACCAAGAACCCCTATCGCAAAGCGTGGGCAGAGAAACAATGCTCTATTATCAACAGTCCAGTATTTGCCCCCTGTCACAATAAGGTAAATGCCTGAATGCCTTTATATTATATTATATTATATTAATGCCTTTAATATATCCTGTGCCTCTATACAATATTAATCTCATTAGCATCCAATTTTTCTTACTATTATCACTGACTGGCCTTTGCTGAACACAAGGATTAGCTTTTCTAAAACAACCATTTTCAAACTAACGTTTTGTTCCCCGCTACAGGTGTACCGGATGTCTTACTATGAATCTTGTGTCCGGGACTCATGTGGATGTGACAGTGGAGGAGATTGTGAATGCATGTGCGATACCATTGCAGTCTACGCAAAAGCTTGCTTAGACGCTGGTGTCTGCGTTGACTGGAGAACTCCTGACTTCTGCCGTAAGTTTCTTCTTCTTGAAAAAAGAAAATTGAAATTCTAAGTTTCCTGGAGAGCAACTTCAAAGACTTTGCTCCCTTTTCAGATTGTCGTATAGTATGTCTGAACTGAGAAGGGAAGTTATTAAAATAAAGAAATGTTTGGTGTAACTAGAACGCAGGCTATCCAGCTCACAGGCTAACTGGGGCTTCCTAATAAGGTCAGTCATGATAGACAACTTCCAGCACAGACTATTTGTTTTTTGTATCAGTCTTTACAAAGCTGCAAAAAGCCATTAATTATCTTCTGTCTGCAATTTCAGGCAAAGAAAACTAACCAGGATACAGGATATTCTTTAGCTCCAAGGAGCATTCTGACAATGCTAAGAGTATACATTAAAACATCTTAGATTATTGAGCCATTTGCAAAGAATAGAAAATGGAATGGAATGGAATGGAATGGAATGGAATGGAATGGAATAGAATAGAATAGAATAGAATAGAATAGAATAGAATAGAATAGAATAGAATAGAATAGAGACCTTGGAGGTCTTCTAGTTCAACCCCCTGCTTAGGCAGGAAACCCTATACTGTTTCAAACACATGGTTGTCCAATCTCTTCTTAAAAACTTCCAGTGTTGGAGCATTCACATCTTCTGGAGGCAAGTTGTTCCACTGATTAATTGTTCTAGCTGTCAGGGAATTTCTCCTTAGTTCTAGGTTGCTTCTCTCCTTGGAAACTAATTGTTTCCACCCATTGCTTCTTGTCCTGCTCTCAGATGCTTTAGAGATTTCCTTGACTTTTGGAATGAGTCATAAAATCCACTGGTGGTTCATTTCTTTTAAATTTAATTCTGTACAGATCTCTATGTATCAGAAATCAACTTGACAACTTGATGGTCAACTTGATTTTCTCATCACAGAACATTGGCATCACTGTTATAATTTATTATCTGTCTAGGTGAGCTTGTGGATAAGTGATTTCTGTGATCTACTGAACAATAATTTTCTTTACTTACTTTTAGCTGTATACTGTGACTACTTCAACACCCATAAGAGGATTGGCATGGATTATAGATATGTCAATGAAGTAAATTGCACTTGGCATTATCGCCCCTGTAAATGTCAAAATATGTTACCAGTAACAGAAGTCAATGTTGAAGGTAAAGTGAGATGGTTTGCCTTTTTCAGAGTACAAACTGTATTAGCCAAGGGTGTAGCAACTGTATCCCATAAATGATGGCCCCATGACGACTCTTTCTCACTACTTTTTCTTGATATTTGCCACCAGATATAACTCCAGACACTTGTCCAAATATTTAGAGCAATTTCCTTAAATTCATCTTACTGCACTGATTTCATGACTATGCTTAGCTTGTCTCAGTTTTCAACACTGAATTCATTGAATAACTGTAGTTGAGGTTTATGAGGCTTAAATAAAAAAAGAGATCTGAAGTTGTTAATATTAAGAATTATAATGTGTAATTAATTAACAGATACAAGGACTAGCCAATTAGTAGAGTGTTGCAGAGAATGCTGGCTTCTTCAAATAATTTGTCCTCAAAAATCTACTGAAATAGATTCCAATCATACACTGATGATCCCTATCTATTCCAGACTGTGGAAACATAACTATTCAGCTTCACTTTTGATATCCTATCATCAATATTAGAAGATTAATTAATAGTTAAAACATTATATAACTGCAATATTTAAAGGGAATCTTTAATCTTGCAACAGTCAAATGGTCTAGGCTAGGGTCTGATGCAACAAACTAAAGAAAGCTAGCAGAAATTAACAAAGATACAATTTTTTTTTAAAAAAAGTTGGTCAATATTTTTCAGAATGTTGTGTGGAAAGAAATGGGCCCAGGTGCTGAAATTTGGAAATATGCGATAGTTAATTGTCCAAGGCTCATTTACACATGTTAGTAATCTCTTAATTCTTATTTCAAAAGCAGTGTTTAGTTAAAAGGATGCATAATGTTCAAGATGTATTTTACCCTTTCTTTCAGGCTGTTACAACTGTTCACATGAAGAGTACTACAATTCAAAACAGAAAGCCTGCGTACCATGTGGTAAGAAAAGAGGTGCAGTTTTATATACCAAACTCTATATTCAGAAATGTTCTTCAAGTCTATCCAGCTTTACTGGTTTCATTATTATGAGCATAGTGTAAGGAATATTTTGTAATCAACTCTTAAACACTGAGTTTTGTTGGTCTATCTGCTTATTAGGATATGTGATAATTTAGGAAATATACTGTATATATTATGGTGGCTGGAAAATCATTTTTAATTTTTTAAAAATAGATTTTTCTTGAATGGGATTGTTAATGCTGAGCATTTCTGCAATTATATACATCTTAGAATGTAGCTTCACAATGGAAATGGACACAGTATGGAAAGTATACCACTGGCAGTTATTTTATTCAACAATAGCTTGCCATCAGAATTGTGTCAACAGATTACAGTTACTTCATTCTTAATAGTTGGTCAGATGAATGCACCCTAAATTCACGTGGCAAAATCAGTTACACAAGCCCAGATCATCATGGTACAGGTAGTCCTCATTTAACAATGGCAATTGGGACCTGAAACTCCATTGTTAAGTGGTCCATTTAATGAATGTGACACAGTGGTGGGTTTCAAATTTTTTTACTACCGGTTCTGTGGGTGTGACTTGGTGGGCGTGGCATGGCTTGGTGGGCATGGCTTGGTAGATGTGGCAGGGGAAGGATACTGTAAAATCTCCATTCCCTCCCCACTCCAGGGGAAGGTTACTGCAAAATCCCCATTTCCTCCCGATCAGCTGGGACTTGGGAGGCAGAGAATAGATGGGGGCGGGGCCAGCCAGAATTTTTACTACCGGTTCTCGAACTACTCAAAATTTCCGCTACCGGTTCTCCAGAACTGGTCAGAACCTGCTGAAACCCACTTCTGGTGTGACATCATGTGACCATACTGCTTTATGACTGGATTTCTGGCACTTTTGGCTGCTATCATTAAGTGAGGACTTTACTTCACTGTGACCTACAACTTCCTGGCAGTTTCCCCATTGACTTTGCTTCTTGGAAGCCAGCAGGAAAGATTGCAAATTGCTATCACATGTCCAAAAGATACTGTGATAGTTGGAAGTGTGGATTGGTTACTCAGCCTCCAAAATGCAATCATGGAACTGCAAAGATTACATGCAAGCAACTTGTAAGTACGAGGACCGGTTATAAATACCATACATTTAGTGTCAACATAACTTCAAAAGGTCTGTGAGTGATTGTTAAAGTGAGGACTACCTGTATTCACAAGATATGTGCATTTACTGTACATTATGTAGTCATGTGATTCCTTGCCAGTAAAAACTATATGTTGATAGGACATCAAAATGAAACAAATTAGTGCCCCAAGATCTCTGGATCCTTTTCACAATATAAAACATTTTATAGTTTATATTTCACTTATGCTTTCTTTTCACAGAACAGCCACCTATCCCCACTCCAACTGTAACAGGTAAATACAAAATTTAAAATATCTGTATTTTAAGTGTATGTTATTGCATTTTTTCTATTTCTATATTCCTATGATTTTCCTATGATTTTGAAAGAAATATGTGGGACCCGTAACCTAGGCAAAATGACTGAAACATGCATTAGGGACATCCCAAAAAGCAACTAGACTTTGTTTTCTCCTTGAAGATGTTTCACTTCTCATCCAAGAAGCTTCTTCAGTTCTGACTGAATAGAGGAGAATGGAAGGATTTGTATTCCTTGCAGTTATCTGGTCTTTAACAGAGTCATTGAGGCCACTTGGGGATAGTATTGTGGCTTGCCAATGGCATTGTCATTCAGTAGTTATAGGAAATTGAGAACTTTTTCCTTATAACTGCTGGTAGGATCTGTACCATTTGAAAGACAAAGATTGCTTTTTTGAACCAGCAAAGTCCACATTTTGTACAGAGAGGACCACTGGTTTGAAAGAGGGTTCAAAAAGACCATCTACATAGGGACCTCCAACTTTGGCAACTTTAAGACTTGTGGACTTCAACTCCCAGAGTTCCTCAGCCAGCAAAGCAAAGCCGCAGATGGGGACTGCAGCCAAGAAATTAAAAGATGCTTGCCCCTGGGGAGGAAAGCTATGGCAAATCTAGACAGCATACTAAAAAGCAGAGACATCACCCTGCCAACAAAAGTGCGTATAGTCAAGGCTATGGTTTTCTGAGTTGCAATGTATGGCTGTGAAAATTGGACCATAAGAAAGGCTGAGAGACAAAGAATTGAGGCCTTTGAACTATGGTGCTGGAGAAGACTCCTGTGAGTCCCTTGGACTGCAAGGTGATCAAACCAGTCAGTCCTAGAGGAGATCAACTCTGACCAGGGCCGGATTTAGATGAAAAGAGGCCCTAGGCTATTCCACTTATGAGGCCCTTTCACCTATAGTGAAAGTGTAATTTTAATTTTGCTAACAATTTGAATGTAGGCTCCTCTTGATCTTGAGGCCCTAGGCTGAAGCCTAGTTAGCCTATAGGAAAATCCGGCCCTGACTCTGACTGCTCTTTAGAAGACCAGATCCTGAAGATGAAACTGAAATACTTTGGCCACCTAATGAGAAGGAAGGACTGACTGGAGAAGAGCCTAATGCTGGGAAAGATTGAGGGCAAAAGAAGAAGGGGATGACAGAGAACGAGGTGGCTGGATGGAGTCACTGAAGCAGTAGGTGTGAGCTTAAATGACTCCAGAAGATAGGAGGCCTGGAGGAACATTATCCATGGGGTCACGATGGGTCGGACATGACTTTGCAACTAACAACAACAACATCTCAACGGAGGGGGAGAACTATGACACCACCTATCTTCTGTTTACAACACAGTCCTTTCAGGTTCCACACCCATTTGCATTCTGATTTAGGTGATCCTAAGGGCACAGATAAGCCCCCATGTAGCCTTGAAGTGAAACATTTTCAAGGAAAAAAACAAGAAAATCCAGTTGTGTTTTGAAAAAGCATCTTTGGGACAACCATGGCCTGAATGACTGAGAATCTCCCCAGACATGCTTCAGCGACATTCAGAAGTGGCTCAGGAAGACACTTCCCTGGTACATCCCCAATTTACAAACATTGAAGAATCTTGAATTTTTAGTGCTGAATTTCAGCTGGAAACTGTTAAAACAATAATATAATATTTGGTTTGGTTTGGTTTGCAAAACAAATGGTACAGTAGGTATGTTATGATTATCCCAAAGGTGCTTTATCTAACAATCTCAACTTTCATTCCCAAAATGTATAATAAATACAGACTGTCCCCAAATAAGGAGAGACCAAATCTCTGCTCTCTTTATGACATCATTATATTATTATCATTCCTTTTATACTCTCCCAGGGAAAGGAACCCTGATCCTGAACTATACAAGGTGTTAATAATTTTCCTTTTCTCCTTTTCCTTTCAAACTTTACGTAAATCTAATCCTATTTTTTTAATGTTTTACATTTTTGCAGCCACCACAATCTCACCGCACACCATAACTACACCGGAAACTACAGCAACTTCATCTACTTCTCCAGTATCAAAACCCACTGTCTTCCCAGAATCTTCAATACCAAGCACTTTGAAGATCACTTCCACTACCACGATTCCTCACACCAGCACCATAGTGTCTACACATTTTACTGGTATGTCATTCCCCAAAGCCATACAACAGTGGCCTCATCTGCACCTTTAAAGAACTAGCACATATCTCCAAGCATTCTCTACATTCCCAATTGTGTTTGTCAATTTTAAGTCAATGCCAATCTTGCAGGATCCAATCTGGGTTAGTCATTAAAACCAGTTTAGTCTTCTGAGCTTCTAGACACATTCTAATGAGAGAGAAGTTCCCTGAGGATGGTGGGTTCCAGCACTAGTCTGAAAGCTTGGAAGATTAAACCTCTGGTCCCAGTAAGTGACACAGATTGGATCCTGAAACATTATCCCGGGACACATATATTTGCTGCGCTGTTCCACTAACTCACATGTACATGTAATGGTGGGTTAGTGAGTTTATTAATATTCCCCAGCAATTCCCTTCACTAAAAACCCAAAAGTGTCCCAATTAAGTCTAGCCCAAAGCAGATCAATGCTAGTCCACAGAACAATGGCCAATGAATCCATAAGGCACTTGAAAGTTTCCCAAACAAGAAAAATCTAGGCAAAATTAAATCCATAGCACAAGAAGATTCACAAGGCAAGAAAAGTCGAGTTGACAAGGCACAATACAAAGTCAAGGCACAAGGTCAATGCAAGGCAAGGCTGGAATCCCAATGACCAGGAAACATACAACTAAGAAATGTACACATTGTTCCGAGCATCGTCTCCATCTGTCTGCTGTGCTAAATCGCCTGCTTCTGGTGCAGTCCATCAAGGGACAATGCTGCCTCCTTGCAAGTAATCAGGCTGTTTCTGCCTTACATGTTCTCGGATCAGATGCAGAAGGCAGTTCTTCCTCCTCATCACTAACTGGTTATAGTTATGTGCTTTCCCCACCTGAAGTCACAGGGCTGTCCTGCTGCAGCTGTACTTCAGCTAAATCACTCTCAGACAGCTGCTTGGAGCCACTTATCAACTCCCCTCCAGAGGTGCCTGGGACTGGTTCATCCTCCTCTGAACTGACATCTGGAGAAGCATCACATTTGCTTTCATTCATTCATGAATACCAATCTTCTCTATATCAACTTTTTCAATCTTTACATGCGATTACAATTATCTCCCTTCAAACACACCTGTACCAAAGGCATACAGAAAAATCACCCCAATTATATGTATATGACCAAAGTAATTCATGTGATCACAGTTATAACAATGAAATGGTAAGTTTCCCATTTTAATGACTTGTTTATTAAAAAATATTAAAACACACAAAAAGGCCTGTATTTTGAATTGGCATAAAAAGTTAGGGAACTGTAATGCTGATCTTATTGATGTCACAGCAGTCAAAAAGCAAAACATTTCTTTTTTAAAAGTCTGAGAATACTTCCATTTTTAATTAAATACATCTTTTAAAGATCATAACATAGTGCGGAGATTCTCAATTTTAGCAAATTAAAGATATATGGACATAAACTCCCAGAATATTCCAACAGCAGGTTAGCTAGGAAACTCTGGAAAATCACACTCGTTAAAATTGAGAAATGTTGCAAGTACACCTAGTGATCATATAATACTTCAGTAGCTAAATATATTTTGTAACTGCTCAAAAGAACACATGTATATCTTTCTCTAATTCACTTTTTTTTCAGAAAGCTCAGAAACAACTTTAACAGGTACAACATCCACTTCAACAGGTAAGAATCATACTACATGAAGCAATAATTACTATAAATATTTAGATGACTACACCTTAGAGATTTATAGATAAAATATCTTTTTCTTCCTACAACAGCTTCCACAACAAGGAGAAGTAGCACACCAAGAACAACAGAAACAACTTCATTGTCAATAACAACAAGAACTACTGAATCAGCAAAAACCACTTCACATGAACCAATATTAACACCAGTGACAATTCACCCTCACCCTATTCCAACAAAACCATCAATTCACAATCAAACAACTATTACCAGTACATTAACAACACAACTTAAAAGTGAGTACATAAACTTCTAAACAAAAACAAAAAAAATTCAGAATTCCATAAAGGCAACCAATAAAATAATTTTGTTTTTTGGCTCCACTATAGCTTCCATATCTGTGACAAGTACCCCTACAAGGAGCACCCCAGAAACATCATCAGCTGCTACCTCAAAGACCACAGAATCAACTCATAGTGCAACCACTCCAATGCCAAAAACCACAACAGAAACCTCTCCTGTTACTCTGCCAACCTCCACCTCCACAAAATCGACGCCAAGTAGTACACCCATCCCGACAACCATGACCTCCACCCAAACTTCCACCACACCCATCACACGGACCCACCTCTACAACCAGCACACCTCTCCCATCAACTTCAACGGTGACTCCCACAACAATTCCTTCTTCCACCAGTAGCCACACAACCACGCCTACGACTACCACTCCAACCACTTCAATACCCAGTAGCACTATAAGTATCACCTCCCCTACAACCACCCTAACCACTAGTACACAACCTCCTTCAACCTCAATGACGACACCAATAAAGAGCACCAGTGGTAAGTTGAGATGTTTGGTTTAGCAACTCTGTCAACAATACTGCTCTGAAGTGGCCCTTCAGTCATCTCCATGTGTTTGCCCCTGGCCTCTATTTTGAGGCAGAAATACAATTGTGCACAAAAAGCAAGGCTACACCCACATTCCTGGATGGTCAGCAGCTTCTTAATGTCCTTCCCTTCATAGTGCACTTGCTAGACATTAAATATCACTCACCTGTCCTCTTTCATCCTCTCATCCATCCCTCCACCCTCCCTCCCTTCCTATTTTCCTCTCTTCCTCCCCTCCCTTCCTCTCTTCCTCTCTTCCTCTCTCCCTCCCCTCCCTGCCTGCCTGCCTGCCCCTGCCTGCCTTCCTTCAACAGTGATACTGGAAACCATATTGGCACTTTCCACAGGACCAAACTAAGTAAAACCTATTTTCCTAGGGCCTGGCAAACATGTTTAGGGCTATACTTACGATGACAGATTCCAGTCCCACAACGCACTGCAACTATCTGTATTTTCTCTCTCTTGCAGCTTCAACACATGAAATACCATCAAGGACCCCATCAGTTTCATCCACGTCTCCCTCTTCTACTACGAGGACCACAGAATCAACTCATAGTGCAACCACTCCAATGCCAAAAAAACCAACAGAAACCTCTCCTATTACTCTGCCAACCTCTACCTCCACAAAATCGACACCAAGTAGTACACCCATCCCGACAACCATAACCTCCACCCAAACCTCCACCACCCCCATCACACGGACCACCTCTACAACCAGCACACCTCTCCCATCAACTTCAACGGTGACTCCCACAACAATTCCTTCTTCCACCAGTAGCCAAACAACCACGCCTACGACTACCACTCCAACCACTTCAATACCCAGTAGCACTATAAGTATCACCTCCCCTACAACCACCCTAACCACTAGTACACAACCTCCTTCAACCTCAATGACGACACCAATAAAGAGCACCAGTGGTAAGTTGAGATGTTTGGTTTAGCAACTCTGTCAACAATACTGCTCTGAAGTGGCCCTTCAGTCATCTCCATGTGTTTTCCCCTGGCCTCTATTTTGAGGCAGAAATAAATTGTGCACAAAAAGCAAGGCTACACCCACATTCCTGGATGGTGAGCAGCTTCATAATGTCCTTCCCTTCATAGTGCACTTGCTAGACATTAAATATCACTCACCTGTCCTCTTTTATCCTCTCATCCCTCCCCTCCTCCCTCCCTCCCTTCCTATTTTCCTCTCTTCCTCCCTCCCTCCCTCTCTTCTCTCTTTCCCTCTCTCCCTCCCTCCCTCCCTGCCTGCCTGCCTGCCTGCCTGCCTGCCTGCCTGCCACAGTGATACTGGAAACCATATTGGCACTTTCCACAGGACCAAACTAAGTAAAACCTATTTTCCTAGGGCCTGGCAAACATGTTTAGGGCTATACTTACGATGACAGATTCCAGTCCCACAACGCACTGCAACTATCTGTATTTTCTCTCTCTTGCAGCTTCAACACATGAAATACCATCAAGGACCCCATCAGTTTCATCCACGTCTCCCTCTTCTACTACGAGGACCACAGAATCAACTCATAGTGCAACCACTCCAATGCCAAAAAAACAACAGAAACCTCTCCTATTACTCTGCCAACCTCTACCTCCACAAAATCGACACCAAGTAGTACACCCATCCCGACAACCATAACCTCCACCCAAACTCCACCACCCCCATCACACGGACCACCTCTACAACCAGCACACCTCTCCCATCAACTTCAACGGTGACTCCCACAACAATTCCTTCTTCCACCAGTAGCCAAACAACCACGCCTACGACTACCACTCCAACCACTTCAATACCCAGTAGCACTATAAGTATCACCTCCCCTACAACCACCCTAACCACTAGTACACAACCTCCTTCAACCTCAATGACGACACCAATAAAAGCACCAGTGGTAAGTTGAGATGTTTGGTTAGCAACTCTGTCAACAATACTGCTCTGATGTGGCCCTTCAGTCATCTCCATGTGTTTTCCCCTGGCCTCTATTTTGAGGCAGAAATACAATTGTGCACAAAAAGCAAGGCTACACCCACATTCCTGGGATGGTGAGCAGCTTCTTAATATCCTTCCCTTCATAGTGCACTTGCTAGACATTAAATATCACTCACCTGTCCTCTTTTATCCTCTCATCCCTCCCTCCACCCTCCCTCCCTTCCTATTTTCCTCTCTCCCTCCCTCCCTCCTATCTCCTATCTTCCTCTCTCCCTCCTCCCTCCCTCCCCCCCCCTCCCCCCCTTCCTGCCTCCCTCCCTCCCTTCCTCCCTATCTTCCTCCTTCCCTCCCTCCCTCCCTCCCTCCTGCTTGTCTGCCTGCCTGCCTGCCTCCACAGTGATACTGGAAACCATATTGGCACTTTCTACTCACCAAACTAAGTAAAACCTATTTTCCTAGGGCCAGGCAAACATGTTAGGGCTATACTTAGTGACAGATTCCAGTCCCATAACACACTGCAACTATCTGTATTTTCTCTCCCTTGCAGCTTCAACACATGAAATACCATCAAGCCACAGGACCCCATCAGTTTCATCCACGTCTCCCTCTTCTACTACGAGGACCACAGAATCAACTCATAGTGCAACCACTCCAATGCCAAAAACCACAACAGAAACCTCTCCTGTTACTCTGCCAACCTCTACCTCCACAAAATCGACACCAAGTAGTACACCCATCCCGACAACCATGACCTCCACCCAAACTTCCACCACCCCCATCACACGACCACCTCTACAACCAGCACACCTCTCCCATCAACTTCAACGGTGACTCCCACAACAATTCCTTCTTCCACCAGTAGCCACACAACCACGCCTATGACTACCACTCCAACCACTTCAATACCCAGTAGCACTATAAGTATCACCTCCCCTACAACCACCCTAACCACTAGTACACAGCCTCCTTCAACCTCAATGACGACACCAATAAAAAGCACCAGTGGTAAGTTGAGATGTTTGTTCAGGAACTCTGTCAACAATACTGCTTTGATGTGGCCCTTCAGTCATCTCCATGTGTTTGCCCCTGGCCTCTATTTTGAGGCAGAAATACAATTGTGCACAAAAAGCAAGGCTACACCCACATTCCTGGGATGGTCAGCAGCTTCATAATGTCCTTCCCTTCATAGTGCACTTGCTAGACATTAAATATCACTCACCTGTCCTCTTTTATCCTCTCATCCCTCCCTCCACCCTCCTCCCTTCCTATTTCCTCTCTTCCTCCCTCCCTTCCTCTCTCCCTCCTTCCTCTCTCCCTCCCTCCTCCCTGCCTGCCTGCCTGCCTGCCTGCCTGCCTTCCTTCCACAGTGATACTGGAAAACATATTGGCACTTTCCACAGGACCAAACTAAGTAAAACCTTTTTCCTAGGGCCTGGCAAACATGTTTAGGGCTATACTTACGATGACAGATTCCAGTCCCACAACGCACTGCAACTATCTGTATTTTCTCTCTCTTGCAGCTTCAACACATGAAATACCATCAAGGACCCCATCAGTTTCATCCACGTCTCCCTCTTCTACTACGAGGACCACAGAATCAACTCATAGTGCAACCACTCCAATGCCAAAAAAACCAACAGAAACCTCTCCTATTACTCTGCCAACCTCTACCCCACAAAATCGACACCAAGTAGTACACCCATCCCGACAACCATAACCTCCACCAAACCTCCACCACCCCCATCACACAGACCACCTCTACAACCAGCACACCTCTCCCATCAACTTCAACGGTGACTCCCACAACAATTCCTTCTTCCACCAGTAGCCAAACAACCACGCCTACGACTACCACTCCAACCACTTCAATACCCAGTAGCACTATAAGTATCACCTCCCCTACAACCACCCTAACCACTAGTACACAACCTCCTTCAACCTCAATGACGACACCAATAAAGAGCACCAGTGGTAAGTTGAGATGTTTGGTTTAGCAACTCTGTCAACAATACTGCTCTGAAGTGGCCCTTCAGTCATCTCCATGTGTTTTCCCCTGGCCTCTATTTTGAGACAGAAATACAATTGTGCACAAAAAGCAAGGCTACACCCACATTCCTGGGATGGTGAGCAGCTTCTTAATATCCTTCCCTTCATAGTGCACTTGCTAGACATTAAATATCACTCACCTGTCCTCTTTTATCCTCTCATCCCTCCCTCCACCCTCCCTCCCTTCCTATTTTCCTCTCTTCCTCCCTCCCTTCCTATCTTCCTATCTTCCTCTCTCCCTCCCTCCTCCCTACCCCCTCCATCCCTCCCTCCCTTCCCTCCCTCCTCCTATCTCCTCCCTCCCTCCCTCCCTCCCTCCCCCCTGCTTGTCTGCCTGCCTGCCTGCCTTCCACAGTGATACTGGAAACCATATTGGCACTTTCTACTCCACCAAACTAAGTAAAACCTATTTTCCTAGGCCAGGCAAACATGTTTAGGGCTATACTTATGTTGACAGATTCCAGTCCCATAACACACTGCAACTATCTGTATTTTCTCTCCCTTGCAGCTTCAACACATGAAATACCATCAAGCCACAGGACCCCATCAGTTTCATCCACGTCTCCCTCTTCTACTACGAGGACCACAGAATCAACTCATAGTGCAACCACTCCAATGCCAAAAACCACAACAGAAACCTCTCTGTTACTCTGCCAACCTCTACCTCCACAAAATCGACACCAAGTAGTACACCCATCCCGACAACCATGACCTCCACCCAAACTTCCACCACCCCCATCACACGGACCACCTCTACAACCAGCACACCTCCTCTCATCAACTTCAACGGTGACTCCCACAACAATTCCTTCTTCCACCAGTAGCCACACAACCACGCCTATGACTACCACTCCAACCACTTCAATACCCAGCAGCACTATAAGTATCACCTCCCCTACAACCACCCTAACCACTAGTACACAGCCTCCTTCAACCTCAATGACGACACCAATAAAAAGCACCAGTGGTAAGTTGAGATGTTTGGTTCAGGAACTCTGTCAACAATACTGCTTTGATGTGGCCCTTCACATCTCCATGTGTTTGCCCCTGGCCTCTATTTTGAGGCAGAAATAAAATTGTGCACAAAAAGCAAGGCTACACCCACATTCCTGGGATGGTCAGCAGCTTCATAATGTCCTTCCCTTCATAGTGCACTTGCTAGACATTAAATATCACTCACCTGTCCTCTTTTATCCTCTCATCCCTCCCTCCACCCTCCCTCCCTTCCTATTTTCCTCTCTTCCTCCCTCCCTCCCTCTTCCTCTCTTCTCTCCCCCTCCCTCCCTCCCTCCCTCCCTGCCTGCCTGCCTGCCTGCCTGCCTGCTTCTTCCACAGTGATACTGGAAACCATATTGGCACTTTCCACAGGACCAAACTAAGTAAAACCTATTTTCCTAGGGCCTGGCAAACATGTTTAGGGCTATACTTACGATGACAGATTCCAGTCCCACAACGCACTGCAACTATCTGTATTTTCTCTCTCTTGCAGCTTCAACACATGAAATACCATCAAGGACCCCATCAGTTTCATCCACGTCTCCCTCTTCTACTACGAGGACCACAGAATCAACTCATAGTGCAACCACTCCAATGCCAAAAAAACCAACAGAAACCTCTCCTATTACTCTGCCAACCTCTACCTCCACAAAATCGACACAAGTAGTACACCCATCCCGACAACCATAACCTCCACCCAAACCTCCACCACCCCCATCACACGGACCACCTCTACAACCAGCACACCTCTCCCATCAACTTCAACGTGACTCCCACAACAATTCCTTCTTCCACCAGTAGCCAAACAACCACGCCTATGACTACCACTCCAACCACTTCAATACCCAGTAGCACTATAAGTATCACCTCCCCTACAACCACCCTAACCACTAGTACACAACCTCCTTCAACCTCAATGACGACACCAATAAAGAGCACCAGTGGTAAGTTGAGATGTTTGGTTTAGCAACTCTGTCAACAATACTGCTCTGAAGTGGCCCTTCAGTCATCTCCATGTGTTTTCCCCTGGCCTCTATTTTGAGACAGAAATACAATTGTGCACAAAAAGCAAGGCTACACCCACATTCCTGGGATGGTAGCAGCTTCTTAATATCCTTCCCTTCATAGTGCACTTGCTAGACATTAAATATCACTCACCTGTCCTCTTTTATCCTCTCATCCCTCCCTCCACCCTCCCTCCCTTCCTATTTTCCTCTCTTCCTCCCTCCCTTCCTATCTTCCTATCTTCCTCTCTCCCCCCTCCCTCCCTCCCCCCCTCCCTCCCTTCCTGCCTCCCTCCCTCCCTCCTCCCTATCTTCCTCCTTCCCTCCCTCCCTCCCTCCCTCCCTGCTTGTCTGCCTGCCTGCCTGCCTTCCACAGTGATACTGGAAACCATATTGGCACTTTCTACTCCACCAAACTAAGTAAAACCTATTTTCCTAGGGCCAGGCAAACATGTTTAGGGCTATACTTATGTTGACAGATTCCAGTCCCAAACGCACTGCAACTATCTGTATTTTCTCTCCCTTGCAGCTTCAACACATGAAATACCATCAAGCCACAGGACCCCATCAGTTTCATCCACGTCTCCCTCTTCTACTACGAGGACCACAGAATCAACTCATAGTGCAACCACTCCAATGCCAAAAAACCACAACAGAAACCTCTCCTATTACTCTGCCAACCTCTACCTCCACAAAATCGACACCAAGTAGTACACCCATCCCGACAACCATGACCTCCACCCAAACTTCCCACCCCCATCACACGGACCACCTCTACAACCAGCACACCTCTCCCATCAACTTCAACGGTGACTCCCACAACAATTCCTTCTTCCACCAGTAGCCACACAACCACGCCTATACTACCACTCCAACCACTTCAATACCCAGTAGCACTATAAGTATCACCTCCCCTACAACCACCCTAACCACTAGTACACAGCCTCCTTCAACCTCAATGACGACACCAATAAAAGCACCAGTGGTAAGTTGAGATGTTTGGTTCAGAACTCTGTCAACAATACTGCTTTGATGTGGCCCTTCAGAATCTCCATGTGTTTTCCCCTGGCCTCTATTTTGAGGCAGAAATACAATTGTGCACAAAAAGCAAGGCTACACCCACATTCCTGGGATGGTCAGCAGCTTCTTAATGTCCTTCCCTTCATAGTGCACTTGCTAGACATTAAATATCACTCACCTGTCCTCTTTTATCCTCTCATCCCTCCCTCCACCCTCCCTCCCTTCCTATTTTCCTCTCTCCTCTCTCCCTCCATTCCTATCTTCCTCTGTCCCTCCCTCCCTCCCTCCCTCCCTCCCTCCTATCTTCCCTCTCTCCCTCCCTCCCTCCCTCCCTGCCTGCCTGCCACAGTGATACTGGAAACCATATTGGCACTTTCCACAGCACCAAACTAAGTAAAACCTATTATCCTAGGGCCAGGCAAACATCTTTAGGGCTATACTTACGATGACAGATTCCAGTCCCACAACGCACTGCAACTATCTGTATTTACTCTCTCTTGCAGCTTCAACACATGAAATACCATCAAGGACCCCATCAGTTTCATCCATGTCTCCCTCTTCTACTACGAGGACCACAGAATCAACTCATAGTGCAACCACTCCAATGCCAAAAACCACAACAGAAACCTCTCCTGTTACTCTGCCAACCTCCACCTCCACAAAATCGACGCCAAGTATCACCCATCCCGACAACCATGACCTCCACCCAAACTTCCACCACCCCCATCACACAGACCACCTCTACAACCAGCACACCTCTCCCATCAACTTCTTAAGGACTCCCACAACAATTCCTTCTTCCACCAGTAGCCACACAACCACGCCTACGACTACCACTCCAACCACTTCAATACCCAGCAGCACTATAAGTATCACCTCCCCTACAACTACCCTAACCACTAGTACACAGCCTCCTTCAACCTCAATGACGGCACCAATAAAGAGCACCAGTGGTAAGTTGAGATGTTTGGTTTAGCAACTCTGTCAACAATACTGCTCTGAAGTGGCCCTTCAGTCATCTCCATGTGTTTTCCCCTGGCCTCTATTTTGAGGCAGAAATACAATTGTGCACAAAAAGCAAGGCTACACCCACATTCCTGGGATGGTGAGCAGCTTCTTAATATCCTCCCTTCATAGTGCACTTGCTAGACATTAAATATCACTCACCTGTCCTCTTTATCCTCTCATCCCTCCCTCCACCCTCCCTCCCTTCCTATTTTCCTCTCTTCCTCCCTCCCTTCCTATCTCCTATCTTCCTCTCTCCCTCCCCCCTCCCTACCCCCTCCCTCCATCCCTCCCTCCCTTCCTGCCTCCCTCCCTCCCTTCCTCCCTATCTTCCTCCTTCCTCCCTCCCTCCCTCCCCTGCTGCCTGCCTGCCCTCCTTCCACAGTGATACTGGAAACCATATTGGCACTTTCTACTCCACCAAACTAAGTAAAACCTATTTTCCTAGGGCCAGGCAAACATCTTTAGGGCTATACTTATGTGACAGATTCCAGTCCCATAACGCACTGCAACTATCTGTATTTCTCTCCCTTGCAGCTTCAACACATGAAATACCATCAACCACAACCCCATCAGTTTCATCCACGTCTCCCTCTTCTACTACGAGGACCACAGAATCAACTCATAGTGCAACCACTCCAATGCCAAAAACCACAACAGAAACCTCTCCTATTACTCTGCCAACCTCTACCTCCACAAAATCGACACCAAGTAGTACACCCATCCCGACAACCATGACCTCCACCCAAACTTCCACCACCCCCATCACACGACCACCTCTACAACCAGCACACCTCTCCCATCAACTTCAACGTGACTCCCACAACAATTCCTTCTTCCACCAGTAGCCACACAACCACGCCTATGACTACCACTCCAACCACTTCAATACCCAGTAGCACTATAAGTATCACCTCCCCTACAACACCCTAACCACTACACAGCCTCCTTCAACCTCAATGACGACACCAATAAAAAGCACCAGTGGTAAGTTGAGATGTTTGGTTCAGCAACTCTGTCAACAATACTGCTTGATGTGGCCCTTCAAATCTCCATGTGTTTTCCCCTGGCCTCTATTTTGAGGCAGAAATACAATTGTGCACAAAAAGCAAGGCTACACCCACATTCCTGGGATGGTCAGCAGCTTCTTAATGTCCTTCCCGTCATAGTGCACTTGCTAGACATTAAATATCACTCACCTGTCCTCTTTTATCCTCTCATCCCTCCCTCCACCCTCCCTCCCTTCCTATTTTCCTCTCTTCTTCCTCCCTTCCTCTCTCTTCCTATCTTCCTCCCTCCCTCCCTCCCTCCCTGCCTGCCTGCCTGCCTGCCCCTGCCTGCCTGCCTGCCTTCCACAGTGATACTGGAAACCATATTGGCACTTTCCACAGCACCAAACTAAGTAAAACCTATTTTCCTAGGGCCTGGCAAACATGTTTAGGGCTATACTTATGTTGACAGATTCCAGTCCCACAACGCACTGCAACTATCTGTATTTACTCTCTCTTGCAGCTTCAACACATGAAATACCATCAAGCCACAGGACCCCATCAGTTTCATCCATGTCTCCCTCTTCTACTACGAGGACCACAGAATCAACTCATAGTGCAACCACTCCAATGCCAAAAACCACAACAGAAACCTCTCCTATTACTCTGCCAACCTCTACCTCCACAAAATCGACACCAAGTAGTACACCCATCCCGACCACCATGACCTCCACCCAAACTTCCACCACCCCCATCACACGGACCACCTCTACAACCAGCACACCTCTCCATCAACTTCAACGGTGACTCCCACAACAATTCCTTCTTCCACCAGTAGCCACACAACCACGCCTACGACTACCACTCCAACCACTTCAATACCCAGCAGCACTATAAGTACCTCACCTCCCTACAACCACCCTAACCACTAGTACACAACCTCCTTCAACCTCAATGACGACACCAATAAAGAGCACCAGTGGTAAGTTGAGATGTTTGGTTTAGCAACTCTGTCAACAATAGTGCTCTGAAGTGGCCCTTCAGACATCTCCATGTGTTTTCCCTGGCCTCTATTTTGAGGCAGAAATACAATTGTGCACAAAAAGCAAGGCTACACCCACATTCCTGGGATGGTCAGCAGCTTCTTAATGTCCTTCCCTTCATAGTGCACTTGCTAGACATTAAATATCACTCACCTGTCCTCTTTTATCCTCTCATCCCTCCCTCCACCCTCCCTCCCTTCCTATTTTCCTCTCTTCCTCTCTCCCTTCTCCTTCCTCTCTTCCTCCTCCCTCCTCCCTCCCCCCCCCGTCCCCCTCCCTCCCTTCCTCCCCGCCCTCCCTGCCTGCCTGCCTGCTGCCTGCCTGCCTGCCTTCCAGTGATACTGGAAACCATATTGGCACTTTCTACTCCACCAAACTAAGTAAAACCTATTTTCCTAGGGCCTGGCAAACATGTTTAGGGCTGTACTTACAACAGATTCCAGTCCCACAACGCACTGCAACTATCTGTATTTACTCTCTCTTGCAGCTTCAACACATGAAATACCATCAAGGACCCCATCAGTTTCATCCATGTCTCCCTCTTCTACTACGAGGACCACAGAATCAACTCATAGTGCAACCACTCCAATGCCAAAAACCACAACAGAAACCTCTCCATTATTCCAACTCTAACCTCCACAAAATCGACACCCATCCCGACAACCATGACCTCCACCCAAACTTCCACCACCCCATCACACGGACCACCTCTACAACCAGCACACCTCTCTCATCAACTTCAACGGTGACTCCCACAACAATTCCTTCTTCCACCAGTAGCCACACAACCACGCCTACGACTACCACTCCAACCACTTCAATACCCAGCAGCACTATAAGTATCACCTCCCCTACAACCACCCTAACCACTAGTACACAACCTCCTTCAACCTCAATGACGACACCAATAAAGAGCACCAGTGGTAAGTTGAGATGTTTGGTTTAGCAACTCTGTCAACAATAGTGCTCTGAAGTGGCCCTTCAGACATCTCCATGTGTTTTCCCCTGGCCTCTATTTTGAGGCAGAAATACAATTGTGCACAAAAAGCAAGGCTACACCCACATTCCTGGGATGGTCAGCAGCTTCTTAATGTCCTTCCCCTTCATAGTGCACTTGCTAGACATTAAATATCACTCACCTGTCCTCTTTTATCCTCTCATCCCTCCCTCCCACCTCCCCCTATTTTCCTCCCTCCCTCCCTCCCTGTCCCTGCCTGCCTGCCTGCCTGCCTGCCTGCCTGCCTGCCACAGTGATACTGGAAACCATATTGGCACTTTCCACAGCACCAAACTAAGTAAAACCTATTATCCTAGGGCCCAAACATCTTTAGGGCTATACTTACAATGACAGATTCCAGTCCCACAACGCACTGCAACTATCTGTATTTACTCTCTCTTGCAGCTTCAACACAATGAAATCCATCAAGGACCCCATCAGTTTCATCCATGTCTCCCTCTTCTACTACGAGGACCACAGAATCAACTCATAGTGCAACCACTCCAATGCCAAAAACCACAACAGAAACCTCTCCTGTTACTCTGCCAACCTCCACCTCCACAAAATCGACGCCAAGTAGTACACCCATCCCGACAACCATGACCTCCACCCAAACTTCCACCACCCCCATCACACGGACCACCTCTACAACCAGCACACCTCTCCCATCAACTTCAACAGTGACTCCCACAACAATTCCTTCTTCCACCAGTAGCCACACAACCACGCCTACGACTACCACTCCAACCACTTCAATACCCAGTAGCACTATAAGTATCACCTCCCCTACAACCACCCTAACCACTAGTACACAACCTCCTTCAACCTCAATGACGACACCAATAAAGAGCACCAGTGGTAAGTTGAGATGTTTGGTTTAGCAACTCTGTCAACAATACTGCTCTGAAGTGGCCCTTCAGTCATCTCCATGTGTTTGCCCCTGGCCTCTATTTTGAGGCAGAAATACAATTGTGCACAAAAAGCAAGGCTACACCCACATTCCTGGGATGGTCAGCAGCTTCTTAATGTCCTTCCCGTCATAGTGCACTTGCTAGACATTAAATATCACTCACCTGTCCTCTTTTATCCTCTCATCCCTCCCTCCACCCTCCCTCCCTTCCTATTTTCCTCTCTTCCTCCCTCCCTTCCTCTCTTCCTCTCTTCCTCCCTCCCTCCCTCCCTCCCTCCCCCCCCCCCTCCCTCCCTCCCTCCCTCCCTCCTCCCTGCCTGCCTGCCTGCCTGCCTGCCTGCCTGCCTTCCACAGTGATACTGGAAACCATATTGGCACTTTCCACAGGACCAAACTAAGTAAAACCTATTTTCCTAGGGCCTGGCAAACATGTTTAGGGCTATACTTATGTTGACAGATTCCAATCCCACAATGCACTGCAACTATCTGTATTTTCTCTCTCTTGCAGCTTCAACACATGAAATACCATCAAGCCACAGGACCCCATCAGTTTCATCCACGTCTCCCTCTTCTACTACAAGGACCACAGAATCAACTCATAGTGCAACCACTCCAATGCCAAAAAAACCAACAGAAACCTCTCCTATTACTCTGCCAACCTCTACCTCCACAAAATCGACACCAAGTAGTACACCCATCCCGACAACCATAACCTCCACCCAAACCTCCACCACCCCCCCATCACACGGACCACATCTACAACCAGCACACCTCTCCCATCAACTTCAACGGTGACTCCCACAACAATTCCTTCTTCCACCAGTAGCCACACAACCACGCCTACGACTACCACTCCAACCACTTCAATACCCAGTAGCACTATAAGTATCACCTCCCCTACAACCACCCTAACCACTAGTACACAACCTCCTTCAACCTCAGTGACGATACCAATAAAGAGCACCAGTGGTAAGTTGAGATGTTTGGTTTAGCAACTCTGTCAACAATAGTGCTCTGAAGTGGCCCTTCAGACATCTCCATGTGTTTTCCCCTGGCCTCTATTTTGAGGCAGAAATACAATTGTGCACAAAAAGCAAGGCTACACCCACATTCCTGGATGGTCAGCAGCTTCTTAATGTCCTTCCGTAATAGTGCACTTGCTAGACATTAAATATCACTCACCTGTCCTCTTTATCCTCTCATCCGTCCCTACACCCTCCCTCCCTTCCTATTTTCCTCTCTCCCTCCCTCCCTCTGTTCCTATCTTCCTCTGTCCCTCCTCCCTCCCTCCCTCCCTCCCTGCCTGCCTGCCTGCCTGCCTGCCTTCCTGCCTGCCTGCCATAGTGATACTGGAAACCATATTGGCACTTCTACTCCACCAAACTAAATAAAACGTATTTTCCTAGGGCCAGGCAACCATGTTTAGGGCTATACTTACGATGACAGATTCCAGTCCCACAATGCACTGCAACTATCTGTATTTCCTCTCTCTTGCAGCTTCAACACATGAAATACCATCAAGCCACAGGACCCCATCAGTTTCATCCATGTCTCCCTCTTCTACTACGAGGACCACAGAATCAACTCATAGTGCAACCACTCCAATGCCAAAAACCACAACAGAAACCTCTCCTGTTACTCTGCCAACCTCTACCTCCACAAAATCGACACCAAGTAGTACACCCATCCCGACAACCATAACCTCCACCCAAACTTCCACCACCCCCATCACACGGACCACCTCTACAAACAGCACACCTCTACCATCAACTTCAACGGTGACTCCCACAACAATTCCCGCTTCCACCAGTAGCCACACAACCACGCCTACGACTACCACTCCAACCACTTCAATACCCAGCAGCACTATTGGGTTCACCCCCACTACAAGCCCCCAAACTACTAGTACACAGCCTCCTTCAACCTCAGTGACGACACCAATAAAGAGCACCAGTGGTAAGTTGAGATGTTTGATTTAGGAACTCTGTCAACTCTACTGTTGTAATGGGGCCTTCAGGCATCTTACATGTTGTGTCCTTTGGCCTCTCCTTTGAGGCATGATTCAATTGTGCAGAAAAAGCAAAGATACTCCCACGTTCCTGTATTGGTCAGCTGCTTCTTTATATCCATTCCTTGACAGAGTACTTCCCTGATAGTTAATATTACTCACCTGTCCTCTTTTACCCTTCCTCATCTCCCTCCCTCCCTCCCTCCCTCCCTGCCTGCCTGCCTGCCTGCCTGCCACAGTGACACTCAAAATGATATGGGCACTTTCCAGACCATTAAGTTCCTTAAAACCATTTATACTAAGGCTATTTTGTGCACTTAAAATATTGCCCCAAAAGCAAGGATATACCCATATTCCTGGGTTGGTCAGTTTCTTTTTAATATCCTCCCTTCACAGAACACTTCCCTGACATTTAATATCACTGACCTGTTCTCTTTTACCCTCCACTCTCTCACTTCCTCTGTTCCCTCCATGTTTCCAATGTTTTCCATGGCCTTTCTTTTGAGGCATGCCCAGAAAGTGAGTATACACGCACATTCATAGTTACTCAGCTGCTTCCTTCCTTCCTTCCTTCCTTCCTTCCTTCCTTCCTTCCTTCCTTCCTTCCTTCCTTCCCTCTTCCTTCCTTTCTTCTTCCTTCATTCATCATCCATGAACCTACGTAAACCCTTTTAAAACTAAGTCTAGCAAACGTCTTTAGGGGTATACTTACTTCATCTGTCATGTCACCAAGGAGCGTCACCCCAACATCATTTTCATCCATGTTTTCCTTTTCTACTTTGATGGCCACTGAATCATCCCAGACCCTAGCAGTGGTAAATTTGACTGTTTAATTTAGAAAAATCGCCTTCTGCTCTGTTGTTGCCCTTCAGATATTTTGGGTGTAAGTCCTTTGGTTTCCTCTTCAGGGCATATTATATTTGTTCCCAATAAGCAAGCATAGGACTGCATTCCTGGTTTGCTCATCTTGCTTCTTTGTTCCCATGCCTTCACCCAGTTTCTCCCTGATTTTTAACAGCTTTTTCCTCTCCTCCCCTGCCTGCCCTGCCCTGCCCTGCCCTCTCCTCTCTCTCTCCCTCCCTCCCTCCCTCCTACTATAAATGCCATTTTCTCCATGTTTTTGCCAAGCAATACATCTCCAGTTACCCTCTGTATCTCCACCTCAACCACCAGTACTCTGGTTGTTTGCCACCAACCATAACAACTATAAATAGTACCAGTGGCAAGTTGTGTTCAGTACCTCTTTACAGCATCTTTCTCTCATAAATGTCTGCACATAAGAATTTAGAACTCCTATCCACCATCCTAACCAAATGCATTCTGTCCCTGGGTTCCCTTTATGCATCTATATCACACACACACACACACACACACACACACACAAGTGTAGACCCACCTTCTAGCCCAGGCTCCTCAGCTCTTTTTTTAATTACCTTGCCTTCAGTTAATGCTTCTGACTTTTAATTCATTTTTCCTCTGCTTTCCTTTCTTCCTTCAACCAAATGTTCTTCTGTTTCACTATGAAATCAGAAACTGATTCTGCACGGTCAACACTCACTGCTACAAGTAAGCAGTAACCTGCCCACATCCAGTGTTTCTCTGACCCTTAGTTGCTTTATTCTTCCTTTATTTATTTCTTCTTTCTCTGCTCTAACAATTGAATTTCTTTCCCTTGACATTGTCCACAACACTCCTCAAGAACACCAGTGCTGAGTTTGACTGGCTTCAGCAGTACTTCCTCCATCATGGGGGCATTTTCATCGGCAATGGTCCTCCTTCTCTTCCTTCTTTCAGCTTGCCTCATCCCCTAATAACATTGGACCACAAAGAATTTGCTTCCTGAACAGTTTTGGGTGTATCTTATAGATTTTTGGCTTCTAATCACAAAAATAATGTGTAATTTAACCTATCATGTACTATTTTATAGAAATATTCTGTTTTTTCACAACTGTAATGTACACTCTTCCATTTCTATTGACTATGCTGTACACATGAATGAAACACAGAAAAAGATGGAATTGTTGTTGAAGCACTTCCAGTATACCAAGTACAACTGGTTATCTGTAGAGATTCTAAAAGTAGTAGCTATGTTGTTTGGAATGCAGCTTGGATATATCAAGCAATGTTGTTACATATGTAAATAGGACAGCTGTACAAAAGAGTTGAATTACATTAAAAGAAAATGGCCACTTTAACAGAAGTTGATTCAGGACAGAAAAATGTGGCACTTGTTGACTGACAAAGATACTTAACCTTTTTTTAAGTTTCACTTAAAACTTAGACTTATGGAAATTTTTCTGAAGGTGATGAACAAAAAAGGAGAAGGTTTTTGTTATTTGAGAAATATTTCCAAGAATCACTGATGCCAAAATTTAAAAAGGCATTTTTTTTAATTTTTTATTGAAAATTATTAAAAAATACAGAAAAAAATATAATAATATGGATAGAATTGCAGAGAGTAATATAATACATATAGAGTTTTAAAGTATCAATTTTCGCCTGGAGAAAGTACAAACTTCCATTAAGCTAACTCATCAAAAGAAAGAAAAGTTTAACTAGAAAAAAAAATTCTCAATAGTCATGCAATACTCCTGTAAATATTTACCCACGTTCACATTAAGGTTAATATTTTCATTTTTCTTAAGATTTCTTTTTTTGCAGCCAAGCATACCATCTGTCCCAACTCCTATATAACCCCGACTCTTGTCTATCTCGCAAAAGTCCAGTAAGTTTGTCTGCTTCTGCACAGTCCATGATCTTTGCAATTAACGTAGCCTCCGATGGGATATTTTTGGATTTCCATTCTTGTGCGAACGAGATCCTGGCTGCAATGATGATGTGGAGAGCGAGATACCAATTAGATTTGTTTAAGTTCTCTGGTTTCATGCCTAGTAAAAACGTTTCCGGGTTCAAATCTATTCTACATCCTATGATTTCTAAAATCCATTTTTCTAGCCCAATATTCTTTTGCTCGGGGACAGGTCCACCAACTATGAAAGTAAGTTCCCATAGCGGCGTTGCATTTCCAGCAAACCGGAGAGGTCCCCGGGAACATCTTCGATAATCTAGCCGGGGGCAGGTGCCATCTATACAGCATTTTGTATATATTTTCCTTATAGGAAACTGACATTGTTAATTTTAAGGTTGTCCCCCAGATTTCTTCCCATTTTTCGAGTTCAATCGAGTATCCCAAATTTCTCCCCCAGGCAATCATTGAGTCCTTAATGACCTCCTCTCCGATCCAATCCATTAAGAGGAATTGATACAGTTTGGATAATACCTTCTCATCCTTCCCCAACAAGATCTTATCAAGTTCCTGTAGAGAATTATAGATTCCTCCTTTATTTTTATCCTGAGCTGTCCTAGATTGGATCTGATTGTATGACCACCAATCTAGCTCATAGCCTAATTCCACCAGCATATTTCGAGATTTTACTTTGTAAATCACAAGAATCACTGATGTCAAAATTTAAAAAGGCATTTTTGTTGGCCTCAGATAAAATACGTCATCAATGACAAGCAATTTGAAGATCTGTTAGTGGGGCTAGAGAAAATTGCCTGCGAAACATCCAAGGGGGAGAATTTCCTTAGCAACTACAGAGCACCAAAGTACATTCAGCTACAGTAGTTGATAAAGTTCTTATACTGCAAAATGTCACTAAAGACTGGGGGTTTTTTTGCATTCACACTTGGACTTCTTTCCCAAAAATCTAACTGCATTTAGTGACAAACATGGTGAAAGATTTCCCCAGGACATTGCCACATTGGAAAAATAATATCAGGACAACTGGAATCCATCAATGCTGGCTCACTATTGTGTAGTGAGATGCATCAGACATTGAATAAAACAAAAATAAGCAGTAGAAATCTTTTGGCCCTATTGAATTCATGCAATGTGTCAGAAACATTATGCTTGAGAAGTTTCATATTTTTCAAGATTCCCACATGATACAGTCATTCTGAATTTATATTTCAGTTTGAAGGAGCCTATCATAATCAGCACAAGTTTTTCAGGAAGCAAAGCATTTGAAAAAAAAATGTTGTCCAGTGTAATTTGTCATTTTTATGTGGCTCTTTCATCACATTTTCTTTTTCACTGTGAGTGACACAACTCTCAATTCCGATGATAAAGGAAATATCGAAAAAAAAACATGATTCTCTTTTATTATTTTGCAATATTTGGGATTCAAAAGGAAATAGTTTTTGTAGGATTTGTTATATAATTTTGATTCCATTTGTTTTCAGTGAAAGAAGCTACTTTCCCCTTCTTCATTTCATTGTCCTCTGCATATTTTCTCCAGGTTTCCTCCTTGATAATGTTTAAGAAATATGTCTGTTGCAAATCCCACAATGCTTTAATGCAAATTTTTGTCAGCTGTATTTTTTAAATGTTTTGCATGCTTTACAATGCCTCCTTTTTCCTTCCTGGAGTCTTGTTTTATTGGTACCGTATTTGCAATAGTTTATTCTCCCATTCTGACAAGTATCTGTAACTTAGATATTTCCTGTCCACAGGATGGAAGACAGCTCTCTGAACAACACTGAGGACAACTTTCTCAACTTCTCATCTCTCAAATTCTGCCTTTTCTATCTCTTTTTCCACAGAGTCAACTTCAATTAGCACGTCGCCTCTTACCACTACAAGAGCACTTAATGTCTCCAGTTCGCCTTCTCCTAGCACTACTTGGAAAACAAGCCTAAGCACATCTTTTGTTCCCAGTGTGCCAACAAGTGCAACTTCTACTTTCTCCAGCACTCCAGTAACCATACCCACCAAGACCACTTGGACTACAGAGCCACCTACTGTCACTCTTACTTCTACTACTTTTTCTTCCACAAGTGCTCTTTACACTAGCAGTAAGTATTTCTTGGCTGATGGGAAAGTTGAAGGAGCTATTGATTTTGCACATTACAACAATTATTTTGTAATGTGCAAAATCATATGCAAAATAATGTGCCGAATTTTGTCTGGTACTTAAGAAATCAACTTTTCTAATTTTCATAAAACAAACTGACTTCTATGTTTTATTAGAAAAGTTTTTAGGTTGCAGCTTCCAAAATATTGTCGTGTTAAATGTAGAATAATTTAATAGACAAATCATTAGGGTAATGACAATTTTGCACTGAACACCACAGTCAATGGTTCAATTGTCAGCAGCTCTTGAGAGACATTAACTAAGCACTTAAATATAGAAATGAATTTATTTCCCATTCTAGCACAGATGACTCAGTCATGTAATTCAGCTGGCTCTGCATTTAATAAGCTACATGCTCAATCACCTTTTTTTACAATCCAAGAAAGCAGGGGACAACACAAGAAGCTTGTCGTCTGTACCTTCTGTATAGAGTCTACTTTTTTCTTTATTTGGAAATCGTGAGTTTGCAAATGTCTCTTGGGCTTGATTCTCCTTTCTTCTCCCTTCAGACATGGAACACTTGAGAATCAAATGGACAATTTCTGATCTTAGGAATGCCTCTACATTTTTATCTTTAAACCCCCTCAAAATATACTAATAAAAATTCTGTGACAGTATATATTAATGATTGGAAAGGAAAATATAAGAATTAAAGGAATAACATATACATTTCCATGACTCACATTGCATTGTAATTTGGAAAGCTGCTATTTGCTCTTCTTTTTTAGCAAGAGACTCAGGCATACAGAAGCAAATGCAGTTTTACAACTTTTTCATAATTCACTTTCTTAATCAAAAGCTACCCCTAATTTACATATCACAAATGCTTTCCCATCTCAAAAACTGTTTGTCCAGATTAGGTTTGAGTTCCAGAAGAATGTGGGTGGGTTGCTTTCATAAAACATCCTCTGAGATGGCTCCCAAAGGTTACCGTTCCCATACAGTTTGTATCAGTGGTGGGTTTCAAATTATTTTTACTACCGGTTCTGTGGGTGTGGCTTGGTAGGTGTGGCATGGCTTGATTGGCGTGGCTTGTTGGGCATGACAGGGGAAAGATACTGTAAAATCTCCATTCCCTCCCCAATCCAGGAGAAGGTTACTGCAAAATCCCCATTTCCTTCCAATCAGCTGGGATTTGGGAGGCAGAGAATAGATGGGGGCGGGGCCAGAATATTTACTACCGGTTCTCCAAACTACTCAAAATTTCCGCTACCGGTCCTCCAGAACCTCTGAATCCACCTCTGGTTTGTTTGTATGTATATTGAATTTATTTGCCACCCATCTCATAGTGAACAACTTTGGGCTTCTATACCATCCAAAGTTTTATAACATCCAAAGAGACTTGAATTATCAAATGACTCCTTCCCTTTTGGAGGTGCAGAGTGGCAGGGAGATAGCCTTGAGGCAAATATTCAGAAAATGTGTGATAAACAAAGATGACAGAAACATTCCTTAAATCCTGGGAAAAAATAATATACTCCCTGACTTACTGAAGTATAAGAAGGATGGAAAGAGAAGCATCAACAAATTTGCAAGATTCTCTTATACATGGCAGTCAATCTCAGAATTCTGATTTTCCTGTGGAGAGTTTTCTGATTATCTTGAAGGACCAACCAGAAGTCTGTTAGGACCTGGCTATTTAAACAAGGCTTCGGAGTCTCAGTTCCCCTCCCCCCACCTCAAGCTATTGAATTTTTTAACCATGTTTTGTTGACTGTGTTTTATTCTCTGGTCTTATGCAGGTAAATGTATTGATTATGATATAAGGTATTACATTGTTTTATGTTTTTATCCCAACTTATGAAGGGGGTATCCATTGAGTTTTGATTCTGATTGGAGCAATCTATAAATCCTGCAAATATAATTAATAAATAACTTGTATGTAAGTAAGTGAATGCATATTTCCCCCTTTTGATGTATTTTATAGCAAATATTGCAATTTCACTAATGGTATAATTTATCTGAATCGTAAAGGTATTGATTTGTGATACCTTAATATAGGAAAGTGCTAAACAAAAAAAGATTAAGTAACAAATTAAGCAATCACTTTCATAGGACTGTATCCCATTGCATCCATACCTATATACATGTAGTCTTCACTTAATGACCGGTTGCCTGTGACTGTTCAAAGTTATGACAGACTCCCCCAAAGTGACAGTACATACTACCTGATTCTGGAATTCTGATGACTGCACACATCCCTGTGGTCACAAGAACACATTTTGGGTGTTTGGCAACCAGCTCCCTTTATGGTCAGTTGCAGTGTTCCACAGTCATGTGATCACATTTTATAACTTTTTTTTGCCAGTTGTTTTCAGCAGGTTTCTGGCAAGACATACCCATAGAAATACATGGATTTGCTTACGTATTGCAGAATTACTTTACTTTACTTTACTTTGGATTTATATACCGCCCTACTCCCAAAGGATCAGGGCGGTGAACAGCCAAAAGATAAAACACACATAATACAAAATTTAAAAAACAATGTAAAAGCACATTAAATAATTTGGCCCATACAGATTAAAACACTCCTTTAGTTTTAAAACAAATTTAAAATTAACAATTAAAAGGAAGTTAGGCCAGGACAGCCTGTTGAAATAAAAAGGTCTTGAGGGCACAGCGGAAAGTGTGTAAATCTGGGATCCTCCATATCTCCAGGGGAAGCTCGTTCCAAATGGCAGGTGCCCCCACAGAGAAGGCTCTCCCCCTGGGGGCCGCCAGTCGACACTGTTTGACTGACGGCACCCGGAGGAGCCCTTCTCTATGGGAGTGTACTGGCTGGTGAGAGACTACTGGTGGCAGAAGGTGGTCTCGTAAGTACCCAGGTCCTAAGCCATGGAGTGCTCTAAAGGTGGTAACCAAGACCTTGAAGCGCACCCAGAAGACCACCGGGAGCCAGTGCAGCTCGCGCAGGAGAGGTGTTACATGGGAACACCACATCGCTCCCATAACCACCCACGCGGCCGCATTCTGGACCAGTTGGAGCCTCCGGGTGCTCCTCAAGGGGAGCCCCATGTAGAGTTCACTTAATCATTGCAAAAAAAGTCATAAAATCAGGTCCAGTCACATGGGCGTCTCAACTTATGACTGTGATGACTTACAAGAGAAATTCTGAGCTCCATTACCGCTGTCAGTCAAAGACTACTCGTAGTATTGACCCCGCCCATCAGTACATTTTTCCACCTTAATTTGTACTGGTGGCTGGGGAACTTTCCAAACCAAATGTGTAGGCTACAATGGGAATGGATGGGTACATGTGGGAAGGAATATGTCCAATGTATAAATGGAGATCTTTTTACATTACATAATTTGAAGACATTTCATACAGAATAATAATCTTCCATGAAATGGAGCCAGCATTCAATTGTGGGCCATTAAATAAATCAATACTCCAAAGCAAGTTTTTTCTCGCAAGAAAATAATGTTGTGTTTAGCAGAATTGGTCTTTTGAAAAAACTGAGCAGATGGATGACCAGCAGTGCATGATTTCAAGTTTGTCTAAAGATTTGTGATGTTTGGTGACTTTGGATGCAATTTTAAAACTTGGATTTGTTTTTCTTTTTCAGGTTCTGTTCCAAATATTACAACCAGTGCTCCAACCCCAACAAGCCCAGGTTGGTTGAACTCAAGTGAATGTCTGGGTTTAAGTGATTATTCTCTGGGACTTCAGTCAACTACATACTTGACTTTAGTCTATTGAAATAGTGCTTGCAAGGAAAATACAGTAAACATAGGCCTACATACTCAACTTTCAACTTTTTAAAGATTTCAATTTATTGAGCAAGATGTAGATTTGAACTGTTTCATGCTATTTTATAATTCTTAGAATGATTTATAATTTATATGAATTTATATGAATCTGAGATACATTACTGCCCTATAAAATAGTATGGAGAGTACCACGGCCTAGTGGTTAAGATGCTGAACTTGTCAACCAGAAGGTTGAAAGTTCAAGACTTAAACACTGTGTGACAGGGTGAGCTTCTGTTCCTGCCCCAGTTCCTGCCCACCTAGAAGTTTGAAAGAATGCAAATGCAAGTAGATAAATAGGTACCACTTCAGTAGAAAAGTAACAGCCTTCCGTGTGGCCTGGGCATATAGCCATGCTGGCCACATGACCACAGAAGTGTCTTCGGACAATGCTGGCTCTCTTGGCTAAGAAACAGAAAAGAGCACTGTCCCCTAGGGTCGGACATGACTGGTTAGTCAGGGAAACTTTTACCTTTATCTAAAATAATATACTTTTGCAAAGAAAGCTTTCACTCATATTTTATAACCGATTCTCTAAAGCCAAATAATTGTTTTTCAATATTGTGTTAAATATGTTATATGATCTTTAGCAATAAGGATTGCATTTATTAATATATTGTTTAAATCAAAGATTAACAGTAATAACATCTAATGCTTATTATGTTCTGTGCTGCATTGTGTATTAGCGCTCTGTGGCAATAGCTCTTTTTAGTAAGAATACATATAAGCCTAAATCTTCATTAATACCAAAAGGAGACAGAGTTCTTACTTACCGTATTTTTCGGATTTTAAGATGCACCGGAGTATAAGACGCACCTACCTTTTTTGGTGAGGAAAAGAAGAAAAAGAAATCTCCCTCTGCCTCTGAGCAATTTTGCCTCATTGCAGCAAACAGCAAACAGCCTGCTTTACTTTCATTTTCGTTTTCAGCATAGCTTGATTAGCACAAGGAAAAAAAAATCTGCTCCAGCAATTTACCTCTTTGCAGCAAGCGGCAGAGCCCTGCGCAAAACAGCTGAGAGCAAATCAGCTGACAGTCGGGAGGCCATCCAATCAACTTGTGCTAATTAGGCTGCGCTGAAGCTGAAAGGAGCTGTTTTTTCTTGCTGTTTGCTTGCAAGGAGGTAACTGCTGCGAGGCAGAGGCCAAAGGGTGGAGGGGCAGTGGGTGGGTGGGGCTACATTCGGTGTATAAGACGCACCTAAATTTTCACCCCCTTTTAGGGGGGAAAAAGGTGTGTCTTATACTTCAAAAAATATGGTATATTAATTGCTGTTTTTAATGTTTTACAGGGATATGTAGTACTATTGAATATGAAGAACAAGTGTTTTATAGGGGTTGTGTTTCAAATGTTACTTTAACCCGTTGTGAAGGCATGTGTCCATCATCAACAAGGTAAATAAGATAATATTGCATATTTTCCAGCAACCGTTAAGGCCTACTACTTGTTTAGAAGTCATATTAGTAAAATACTTCAATTTATTTTTCCAGCTATAGCTTATATGTCGGTGGCAGATTATTTTTGCTCATCTAAGATTAATATAAGAAAAGCTCTAATCCCTACCTATAATCTGACCATACCTTTCCCAAAGTTCCTGTAGTTTGTAGTTTCGCATACATCTAATCCCTAACAACAATAATCTAGACCAGAATTTCCATTGCTAAGAAATGCTGTTGAAAAGCACGACATTGTGAGATCACACTGTTTAGTGATGGGAGTTCTGGCACTTCCGGTGGCCATTCTTACATGAATCACACAATGAATGTTAAGTGCTAGGATCACCATTTATAACCACCTGCCCACTGACTTTGCTTGTTGGAAGCCAGCAGTGAAAGTTGCAAAGGGTGATCAAATCACTGCAGCACACTGTAATGGCATGACTGCAAGCCAAGTGTTGATCTCCTGGATCATGATCAAGCTCTAAGTACAAGAACTAGTCATAAGCACTACTCATTTATTGCATTGTAAATTCAGTCACTGAATGAGTGCTTATTAAATGAGGATCACCTATAAGTGCAATGGTCCCCAACCTTTGCAGCTTGATGGCCCAGCTGGGAGGGGGGAGGGGGGAGGGGAACTGGGTCACATGAATGGCGGGTGGGTGTGCCCGGACTTGCACACACAGCTCAACTTGCAGAAATTGAGCTGTACATGTGTGTGCATCAGGGGTGGGTTCTACTTACCTTTACTACTGGTTCGCAACAGGATCGTGTGCATGTGCTTGCTTTGCTCGTGCGCGCCTTGCTTCTGCGCATGTGCAGATTGCCAATGACAACATCAGGGGCAGTGGGCAGGGCCTTCCGCCAGTTTTACTACAGGTTCTTGCGAACCGGTCCAAACCGGGGGCAGCCCGCCACTGGTGTGCATGTGCACCGGCCCACCACTCATGCAGCCCAGTTCCAAGTAGGCCACGGTCTGGTACTGGGCCACGGCCCATGGGTTGGGACCCCTGGTATAGTGTAATTTGGTATAGTATTGTTTAGCTACGTTTAAAAAGCTGACTGGATCACTGGAAGGAAATAGTATGAATATAGTGTAATCGTGTGATATTCCACATAGTACTCAGAAAAATGTAAAAGTATGTTTCCCTTTCATAATGATTAAAACTTTTAGAAGCGTTTTTTAGATGTTTTTCATCTCTCACATAGGGATACACACACACACACACACACACACACACTACATATTTTACATAAATATACTGCTCAAAAAAATAAAGGGAACACAAGCAGAAGACATCCGAGATCTGAATGAATTAAATAGCCTTATTAAATACTTTCTTTACATACAGTAGTTTATACACTGCTCAAACAACTAAAGGGAACACAAAACTACTGTATGTAACGAACAAAGTATTTAATAAGGCTATTTCATTCATTCAGATTTCGGATGTCTTCTGCTTGTGTTCCCTTTATTTTTTTGAGCAGTGTATATGTAAAGAATTCTCACTGACATGATGTATTTCCTAAGTTTAGGGTATCTTTATGTACAGAAAGTGGTACAATATATCAAACTATTTGCCTGTTGAACTACTTGGAGCTGTGTTGGTGCAGTGGTTAGAATGCAGTATTGCAGGCTAACTCTGCATTCCACTGCCAGGAGTTTGATCCTGACTGGCTCAAGGTTGACTCAGCCTTCCACCCTTCTGAGGTTGGTAAAATGAGGAGCCAGATTGTTGGGGGCAATATGCTGACTCTGTAAACCACTATGAAGTGATATATGTCTATATGCAATTAGTCAATAGTATTAGTGTTAATTATTAACCATTTCTTACATTTACAATAACCAAGGAAACAATTTCTGTATTTTTAAGCTAATTAACTTGGTAAATACATGCATACCTCATCAAAAACAAGACTTTTCTCATTCACAGGCAGAAGAATGCAAGGATAGAAAAACAATGCAAGTGCTGTGCGCCACAAACTTCCTACAAGAAGGAAATAGAGATGCCGTGCCCCAATCCGGATAACCCGAGTGAACGACTTTTTATACATATCCTTATATTTGGTGAATGTGTATGCAAAGTAGAGGCATGTGTATACTAGCCAAATTCACCAGTATCAACCCTGAAGCAATATTTAAAATAAACCATCAGTTGCTATTTACATTATACCTAAAGTCTGGAGTTAAGAGTCCCTGTTTACATTAATTTGTCCAAACACTGAGAAGGCAGCTACTCTTTTTAAGAGCAGTGCTGATAACAAATTATGTTAATTTATTCATTATTTGGGAGATAGGAAAATGAAATGAATTTTTGCCTTATTTATAAGGCTTTCATCAAATTAATGTCTACCTGTGTAAAATAAGTGACTGTTTTAATAAAGATATTAGCCAGCTTTTTAGTTTCTAATGGTGAATAACTGAGAGATGTTATATCTTCCTAATCCTATAATCTAATGGAAAATTCATTCTTCAAATGCCCATTTTTGTGTTGTCAAAATTGAACCTTTCGTGATGCAGAGCATCATATCCACAGAGAAGATTTACAGAAGTAATTGAACCTTTGTAATTGAACAAACACCTTCCTCCCTGCAAGAAAACACATATTAAAATAATCAAGGATATCCAGCTACTATAATTAAGTTTAGTACCATTTGTGGGAATCAAATATTTGGAGAAGAGGAACAAAAAAAATGGAAAGGAATAGAATGGAATGGAATGTAGTATTTTGAAAAGTCTATACCAGGAATTTCTGGATGAAGCTCTCAGAAGCAGCTTGATTATGGAAGGTCATGTACTGTATGTTTACAAAAGCATTCCATGGGAATATACTGTGGAAATCTAATTGGATAGGAACATATTAAAGCAATATCATTAATCAAATGGAAGATGTGAGTTGAACACATAAGCCGTGTTCTATAAAACCAATAATACAGGCAAATTATATTCAAGTTAGTTGAAAGTAATCAATTTCTTAGCATGTTCATAACACTACTAAATCAAGCCTAAATTCCCACTTTATTTCTTTCAAGGTTAACCAAGATCTGTATTACGTTATATCAAGATAATTTGTAAAATAAAAAAATGCATCTTTGCCAGTGGATGAGGCTGAAATTAATGATAGGTAAAACCAGAGAATAAAAAGAGTGTACTTTTTCTTACTTCTCCCTACCTGGTAAGCTACTGAAGCAGACCATTTGAGCAGATTAAATATATGGTAAAACTTGAGATAGAAATTTTGGTCTGTATTCCTCTAAAACACGGGTCAAACTCGCTGCGTCACGTTGCCATCATGTGACTTTTTGCGGTGTTTTTCCCATTTGTGGAGCATGACGCATCCAGCCCGCGGGCTGCCAGTTTGACACCCCTGCTCTAAAAAATGAATTCCAAGTCAGGATCAGTTTCCAAGAAGAATTAACAGGTAGTCCTTGTTTAGCAATCATTCGCAATTAAGAGAGTGATGAAAAAAATGAGTTTATGATGAATCCTCTGCCATTCCTCACAAAACTCAGAACTTTGCAGGTCTGTGAAGTGAAGGAAAGTTGCAGTAGTATCATTAAGCACAGTTGTGGTTTCACTTAACTGCATTAACGACCAAGTGGCTGGTTCCAATGGTGATCACTAAGAACTATCTATATTGTGATAAGCTGAGTGTGCGTGCTTCCAAAACAGGAATATGTACCAAAGTTTGGGAACCTGTTCATCTTTGCATACACATAAGCAAATGTTGAATGGCACAAGGCCGCCTCTGTAGGAAATCTGAGCCTCACACATCAACCGGGCATCTCTATCAGAATTAAAAGGTAAACAGGATGCTACTGGGTTCTGGAGCTGACTGAGGAGCAGATTGAGTCTTGCAAGCTGCAACAGTTTTTCATGCCCCACTAGCCCTTGAGCCAGCCTATAGCTCCCTTGGGTAGCTGAGTGGCTGGGTTGGGAGTAGATCAAAAATCCATGAAGACCATGTATTGGGGGGAGGGGGAAATGAACCCAAAGCTTGTGGGGACCCCAAAGTGGTGCCTCACTTAATGACCAGGATAACTTGCAACTATAATGGGCAGACTCCGTCATCATCATAACTTGAGGACTACCTGTAATAGAAACTGAAGAAGGTAAAGTGCTTCAGAATTCAAACAAACAAGCACCTGTCACATGATACCCCAGACTTAACATCATTTGATAAGACAAAATAGTCTTATCAAGTAGACAGCAAAACAGAAAAGGAAGAACTGGAGAAAATTATAAAATATAAAGACCTATAAATAGAAGTAGTACAACTGTGGGAAAAGAAAGCAAAAAAGTATCAATAGTAATAGCAACTTGAGCACAATCCCAAAATGTCTGAAGCACTACCATTGGCATTGACAAAATCACCGTCAATTGCAAAAGGCAGCTTTACTTGCAACAGTTTACATCCTGCAACAATACTTTTAATACCATCAAATAATACCTGCCTTTCCCAAATCCTTGGGAAGGACTCAATAGGTGGATAAAAATGTCAAATCCAGTCTAAATATCTGACTGTGTGACCAACCATAATAATAATGATACACATATACCACACTGATCTATTACATCCTAGGTTCTTGGGGAGAACTCAGTGGGTATAAAGACCAACTCCAGCTAAACAACAGGCAACTGTAATTTTGCATTGGTGTGAAAAGAGATTTCTTTTTTTAAAAAAATAGACGCATTGGAAGTTCTTAAAATTGAGAACGAGGAAACATAATTTTAGTCTTCTAGCCATTTATTTTTTCTGCTAAAGGTAACATGATTAGAGTTATGTATTTTCAGATTCATACACTTATAATGAAAGTTGACCATATAAGCTGAAAATTCATATACTGAAATGGTTATACATAGATACCGGAGTGTAGACCTAAGTTTACAGCATTTCATCTTCCAGTTGAGGAATCTTTCACAAGTCAATAACAAATACTGCACTTGGATTACTAATACTGTTTTAGCCACAAAAAGTATTATTTCTGATTGATAAAGAGGATATATAACTTTGGTAATCAAGTAAGTTATCCCAATAAAGATAAATTGTATATACCTGTACTTCAATTCTCTGTTCCCAATTAGGGAAACAAAAATCATATGAACAGCTGATTTGGAATCTTTATATTTTTATGGATAAATCACATTTGCTCACAACTGCACAGGAAAGACCACCAGTGCTTTGCCATGGTATTAAATAAATGCAACCACAGTGCCTTCAGAACTGCCCTTTTAAAAGTTAAATGGCAGCTCTTCTTAATATGTTATATGACGAGCTTCTAATTATGCCTTGTTTTAATGGCTTCCAGTTCCATGTGAAAAATGAGGATGCATTAACCTGTTTGTTGTGATCAGCACTCTTAGAATTTCTCCAGTGAGAGGAGAATATTGGAAGTTATCCTAGTTTTATTACATGACCAAATTAATGCCATTTCATTTATCAAAATGTGCTAATTCAGTGGAGCCCAACAAATCTACCTTAAGAAGTTTGCAAAAAACCAGTAATTCAGTACTCAAATTAGAGGAATCTGGATAATAGTTCTGTCTGGCTTAGACATGCAATTTTATCTTTAAAAAAAGGAGCTGATTAAACTCCCAAGGACATTTATAGCAATATAGATACCATTGCTTATTTTTTCTTGCTTTACTGAGTGACTGTGATAACCATTTTAGAATCATTTCAGAGAAGTGTGATTGAAACCTATTTCTACTTGCTGAAAAGGATGTCAGGCTGAATTTCTAAAATATATTACAAATGCATATCTCACACCAAGTAGACCATATCATTGCTAGACTTTTTGAAAATAGTGCACCCAACTTTGTGAAGTCAAAAAAGCAATTATCAGACCATTATACTTTCAAAAGCTAACAATTTACTTAGGACCTGAATATACTAGACTTCTGTATCTGTGTGACCCACCCATATGCTAACAAAAATATTACATTGAAATTGCCTATCAATAGTAACAGCCAGGGCTAGAGAATATAGAAACATAGATTCTCTGGGAAATTTTTTAGTGTCGCTCCATGTGATTTTTTTTTTTTTTAATTTACAATCCAAGTGAACAATGGATTAACTAGAGCTTTCTAGAAATAGTGAATCTAATAATTCTGATTCTTTATTCCAGCGTTTGATGAGAATTTTACTCTTTGGTAATTCATCATTTGGAGGAAATGAAAGGGTGAATTAAAGCTGTTTAAAACAAATTGCTTGAGGTAGGGGGAAATAATATCCTAATGCCTCTGTGTACTGTACTCAAGGTCAATGCCCATAGCCTATTTTGAAAAAGCCAACACCTGTGAGATTCATTACAACAGTCCTGACTTCCCATCACATCCCATTGATACATTTTGGACATTCTCAAAAGTTGATCTGCCTAAGATTGACAAAGAATACAGCAGCAAGATGGCTACTGCACAGTCTCATCAAACAGAACTTTACTGATTACTGCTGGGGCAATGCAGGGATAGGAGAAGTGACCACAACGTTACTAGCAATTTACATTGGAATTTCCAGGGGAAAAATTCAAACACCTTTCATTTAGATCATTGTTAATCAAAGTAAGTCATCATAAAACCAACTCCTGACAAAATGCCTGAAATAGTTGAGGTGACAAACACAATGCCTCCTGGCCTCCTTGTGCCAGAAATATTTTCACATTTAGGTAACTTTACATTACACACATCTTTTATTCACATAAGAGGGACAGGTCCTTTAAGGCAGGAATGTGAATGTGATGGCAGTTATTTATGCAGACACTGGTGCACAGGACATTCCTGGAGCAGGACAAGAAAAACAGGCAGAAATAAAGAATCAAAGCTGGTCTTGAGTCAAGATTCAGAACTGTTCTGACAACAATTCGCATAATCTTCGTGAGACTGTTTCTTTACTTGTTCGTAGTGTTAGTCGGTACATCTGAAAAAATAACAAAAAAATAAGTTTTATGAAGAACAGCTTTAAAATTGCCAAAATTCCTACCCTTCTTATAAGTGTTTTCTGTAACAATTTTAGATGTTTTAGAATCATACGATGGTTTGATGTTTAAGAGAAAAAAAAAAGAATTGCAGTGGAGGCGAAGCTATCTAGTCTGAGCTTCTGAAGAACATTTTTTTAGCTTAAAGGGAAAAGAGGCTATTTTTTTAAATCAAAGAGTTCAATAGTAATCAGTAGG